ATCACGAATTCAATGACGTCACCTTTTCTCTAAATGATCTTGTAGCACGCACATGCATTTCGGCGTCATACCTTTAAATCTGCAGAAATACAAATGGTAAAGCGGTGGTACCAAGAAATGCCAATTCTCTTCACGCTACCTATTACGTAAATCATTCAGTCGTGAATCGATTTGTATAAATATAGGTAATGTAAGAAGTAAGTGGTTATTGTTGGAGGTTGAATGAATGTTGAAATTCATTGTTAAGTTCATTGAAGTATTATAAACCATTTTGTAATAGTTATAATTTGTAGTTGAATGCTGTGATTGTAACACTTTTCTTTGCAAAAATCAGCCGAAATAGCTCAGTTGGGAGAGCGTTAGACTGAAGATCTAAAGGTCCCCGGTTCAATCCCGGGTTTCGGCAAAAACTACTTTTTTTTTAGTATGACAACAATAAAATCCTTTCAAATAATAAGATTTTAAGAAGAGTTGATATGTTCTATTACAATTCACACCACAGTGAAAAGTATATGCACGGGAAGAGTCTTAAACGCTTAGGTACCAAAGTGTATTGAAAAACCACTGCCGTAAAATCTCGAACAGTACAACCGCGGTTTGTCTAAATGAGTACAAAATGATCTAAACGGCACGATCTGTTGATAAATTGTGAACCTAATGGGATGTACTTTATCTCTCAATTTTTTTTCACTGTCTGGTTTGATTGAAATGTTTCCTTTGAAAACACAGCCGAAATAGCTCAGTTGGGAGAGCGTTAGACTGAAGATCTAAAGGTCCCCGGTTCAATCCCGGGTTTCGGCAAGAAGTATTTTTTTTATTACGATAACAAAAACTTTTCGGATAACAATGTTTTTATTGCGAGTTTATTCTTATAAATTCCACCTTCTTGGAAAGTAGATGCATGAGAGTGGCATATGTAGAAAAAGGTCAAATTTTGGTTTCTGAAAGTTGCACCATCATTATTCAAACGTCACGTACATCAATTGAAAACATAACTAACTCTCTAATTTTACTAGATTCCTTGCTGGAAGCATTGAAAAGTTTTAAAAAGTGTATCTCCTGTCCAATTATCTCTGTGTCATCCACAAATGCAAACCCAAAACCAACGCCCAAGAAAACGAAATATTCAACCTAATCCAACAATTCCATAACCAACAACACTATCCTTTCACAGATCTCCACCTAATTACACCAGCCACCATTAATATGATTATAAAATAGCTCAAACCGTTCAAAGCTCCCATTAACAACACACCAAATCCTTCTTTAAAACCTCCCAAAAAGACCATAACCTGTTTTTCACTGCCTGGTAATCTTCTATACTCATCCCTAAACCCAACAAAAACTAAACAATCGTACCAAGCTACCATCAACAACACGGTCATATGCGCGAACTCTAGAGACCCAAAAATGGACATCCTCACTAGAAACCGATCTTCGATTCTTTGCAAAATACTATTGTCTATAGAAAATATCCGCAAATCATACAATCCGTGTCAATTGTAGTTACCAAAAACTGTAGCCCACCAGAATCTCAGTCCTTCCAAAAATTTAAAAGATTTATCATCTCCTGCTACATTCAAAACTACATATCTAAGATCAAAATCTTACTAACAAATAACTCCTTTACTATTGCCATCCACCCATCCGTAACCTACTTATATGGGCTGTCACTAACCTCAAAAAAGTTGCTCAGTTATCCCAAAATTTGTTGTGCCGCTCTTTTTATTTCAATTGTTACGCTTTTAATAAGAGTTTACAGGTTATATTTACAATTTTCACTTATGTACACAAAAAAAGTGTCATATACGCACGAAACTCAAATTTTGGTGTACACTAAATGTTGCATCAGTGCATCATCGTTACACTGTGACCAAAGAAAACGTTATTAATTTATAGTAAATTTTACCATGTAATAGAGACTAATAAATACGAGGGGTTACAGTTCTGTTATGATTTGATTATATATAATATGGATTGAGCTAACTGAATATATCTACTAACAAAAATGTGGCTCAAGGTGAATAGACGCAGATGGAAAGCGATAATGTGAAAGTGTAACAAAGATAGACATAAAACGGTACTAAACAGACGGGCGCATGCGCACAAAAGTGTCAAACCTCTTCCATTTGACGTTTATCGTTTTGTTGTGTCACAGCCAGTCACACCGTTATGTTTAAAAATGTATTGTTTCGTGTGCAAAGTTCGCGATAATACAGTTTCACATCACCTGTAAGTATTATAAATGTTACTTCTAATTGATAGTTTTTTATCTTATAAATTAACGCACGCCCATTATATGTCAGTACGCTTCTATGTCTATCTCGGTTCGATCACCTTGCGCAAGCTATCTCTCTCGTTGGCTCAATCCATATTATATATAATCAAAGTATTATGACAAAATCCGACGAAAATTTTTGAACTCAACTGCCTTTCATGTGTTTTTTTTTACTGTCACGATTGATTCTGATGTTACCTTTAAAAAAGTAGCCGAAATAGCTCAGTTGGGAGAGCGTTAGACTGAAGATCTAAAGGTCCCCGGTTCAATCCCGGGTTTCGGCAGAAGAATTTTTTTATTTAATAAATTATATCGGCCCATTTGAAACAGCTATAAAGTTCTAGACCTTCTTTGCGAAGGTGAGTCAATTAATGTTTTGCTAATAAACAGCATTTTACCTGTTAAAATTGCTTCTTTATTGTTAACTCTTCGTTACAAACCACCGCATATCGATTCGTGTACACTCTATTGTGCTAGACGCAACCACGGTTTAAAGTGAATTTTTCACCAATTTTCCACAAACTCTCGTTTAAGGTATAATCTTTTGCCTCCTTTGGTTTAGTTTGATATAAAAGTCAAAACAAACTTCCACAATGTTAAACGGGGCTCATCAGTTTTTTAGAGATTTCTACAAGCAATAAATACGATAAAGTATATAGTAAACAGCTTTCGCTATTTGAACCAGAGAGCACCAGATAGCTGCCAGATTCTGGACAAAAGTGGCTGTTTGGCAACACATAGCTTCTATACACATCCATAACGATGCAAAAAAGGAAAAAGAATTTGCCGGAAGTATTACTTTTTCTTGTTTTGTAGTATATCATATGCCCACTTGTTACTAGCCAGCCTACCCAGTAAATTGCCATTTCATCTTAGCTACTTCTTGAGCATCAGTAACCTTTATTTGTCTCTTAATGTTTTCGTTTCTTATTTTATCGCGTAGTGAGAGGCTAAGCATGCATCGATCCATGGCTCTTTAAGTTGTTAAGAGTTCGTGTGCACATTCTTTAGTTATACAAGTTGTTTCCAGTCTACACTGTATTAATTAATGATCGTACCCGACGTCATCATTGCAAGTATGCAACCAATATGACAGTATTCGTATTACAATACGCAAATCGCGTTACTGGTTGCATACTTGCAATGATGACGTCGGGAACGATAATTAATTAACACACTGTATATGTTTGTACAGGCAGGATATACGTGTTATATACCTTTTGCTTCAGATTTATAGGGATGGTATCCTTTCTTAGAATGTGACTCAATTTGCCAAGAGTTATCTATGGCAGTCATATGTACCTTGTGATTTCTACGTGTTGGTTTTCTTTTCACAGTCTAATAGTATGGCCTAAGTATGTGTATTCGTTTACACATTCTATGTTATTTATTATTCTGTATATATATGTTGGTATCTTCAGAACTCAGCATTTTTTTGTTTTCGTTCATGTTCAGTCTATTCTTGCAGATGTCAGATTTAATTCATTTAGCATTTCGTCTAATTCTGCAATGTTGTTACCTATTAGGAGTACATTATCTGCAAATTTGAGACGATTCAGTTTTGCACCATTTGTGTTAATTCCTTAAGTGTTCCATTCCAATCTATCTAAGGAAGTATTTAGATTCCTCCAGAGCTAGTGTGAACAGTTTTGGTGAATCTCTTCAATGCTTCAATTTTGTTGGTTCGTTGTTGTTTCGTTTATTTTGATGTGCATTGTAAATATTTTCAATAATTTGAGTAAACGTTGAGTGTATTCTTGCGTTTCGTAGAATCATTAGGATTGACCATATTTCAACGGTATGAAAAGCCTTTTGGAAATCAACGAAGGCTATATCAACCCGCCTGTTCCACGGGTTGATAAAAATCTAATGTTGTACTCTAATGATAATGATATTGAAGTTGAGAAGGACTAAGGATATATATGCTGTATCATATTCATAGTAAAAACTTGCACAGCCGAAATAGCTCAGTTGGGAGAGCGTTAGACTGAAGATCTAAAGGTCCCCGGTTCAATCCCGGGTTTCGGCAATTTAATTTTTTTTCTTGTTGGTTTTATTATTTATTTTTTATTTACTGTATATGGTTTATATAAATTGACTAATAAATTTATATAAATAACACTCACATAATAAATCTTTTTATAACTATTATTTTTATCACAGCATTTAATCCGAAAATAAAACAAGAAAAAAATCCCTTTGGAAAGATTCCTTGAACCGTAACTAACAAGAGAAAGTTGAGAACAGTGAGGTGAAATTGATTCATTCAATTCAATTTGTTGGCGAAACGTGCCAAGGACCAAGGAAGCTATACATTAACGCCGGCGTAAATTTTGAAACATATGATGCCATTCGCCAAATAACAGTAGCACCTCAAGTATCGCTAATAGCAATAACGTCTAAATTTAAATTTGGACGACAAAAATAAAGTCCACGTTTACTTTGAAATTTTACGTTACGTCGAAATCGGTAGTTGCCAAATTTTCGGACTCCGACAATTTAATGCTGGTTAAATTTAATCCGACCGCGAGCCGCTAAAAAGAAATTTTAGAGATGAAAAGTGTTATTACAATGTTAAATTTATTATTTAAAAAAAACTTTTTCCCTTTACTTATTTATTATAATCGTATCCATTCATAAAAGTATGACACATACTTTTCCAAACAAGAATTTCCGATTTCAGCCGACTGTGTGGAAATATTTAACCACAACAGCCGAGTGTAAATGAATCAAGTTTACTGAAATAGGATAGTTTTTATTCTAAATAGTGTTTTAAAAATGTCATCAACGAACATCGATGACCAGTTTTGCAAATTCAAACCAGATCGAAATGTTAGTAAATTATCTGATAGGCCAATTAACGCAACTTCGTGTTTGTGTCTACGATTAAAACAATTTTATCGCTCGCTCAGATAAGATACAACGCCATACAGCGATTTACTTACGAACGTAACCGACTGTTTAGTTCCTTAGTGGTAATCTCGGTAACATTCTTGGTAAATATCTAATATCAACCGTAAAAAAAAGATGTCCGAAAAGTATGAAGATTTCGGAATGGATCCTTTAGATTTATTTAAAACTGATCTTGGTCATAACGACAGTCAGGTAAGCGTTACAATTTTTTTTATTATTTACGATTATTATTATCAACGACCTTTAGAGTTCATTTTATACTGCTGATAAAAACACAAGCAGATAATTAGCGAATACTTACTTATTGGTTCTCTATATGGAATGTGTGATTTTTGACCGGAATATCATCGTTAATTGAGATTGTTAATCGTCATTATAAACGGCTTTTTATGTTGTCATAAATAAAATGAATCGCCCTTTATACCGAAATATCATTTATTATCTTTGAAATATCAATAGTCGTATGTAAATGAGTTTTGTTAGGAAATAATCGTGATAAAGATAACACTAAATCTTTTGTGTAAATATTTTCTATATCAATTTTAATAATTTTTATTTTTAAAACAGACTCAATTAAGAGCATTACACATGCTATCAACTGTTGCTGTAGCTTTGGACGTTGATAGAACTAGAGATGAACTTGTACCATTTTTAGAAGATTACCTTTATGAACATATTTTTGAATGCGATACTTTATTGGTTGTAATGGCTGAACAACTAGGAAAATTCGTCCCATTTATTGGTGGTCCTGATTACGCTCATCTTTTATTTCCTATGTTAACAAAATTAGCTGCTTCTGATGAAATGGAAACAGGCGAAAAAGCAGTGATGTCATTAAAAAATATTGCAAGTCAATTAAAGGAAGAACAACTTGAGCAAGATTTTATCACAGTTATCGAGCAATTAGCCCAAGCGGAATGGTTTACATCGAAATGTTCAGCAGCTCCATTATTCGCAGTAAGATTTTTGTTTCTTAAGTACATGGAATTAGCACCATGTTCAATTTATAACTTTTCTTAGAGAATGAATTTTATGTGAATAAATTTCATTTTTTAGGTGGCATATAGAAAAGTTAGAGAACCATGTAGACAAAAATTATTAAATATGTTTTCTAATTTATTACAAGATGAATCACCTATGGTTAGAAGAGCAGCAGCTACTAGTCTAACGGATTTTATCATATACGCTGATATGGAAGAAATAAAAAAGGAATTTATTCCTAGTTTTAAAGACTTAGCTAAAGATGACCAAGTGAGTAATAACATTGATCGAAAAAAATGAATTTTTAATTTGTCACATTATTCTTTTTTGGCATTTTTTGGTTTATTTTGATTCCCTAAGTTAAAAATATGCGTAGAAAAAATTTGGCACCCATTTTTTTTTGTGACAGAAACTTGACTGATACTTTATTTACAATTAAATTTAAAAATATGTTTCTTAAAACAAAAAGTTAAGATTTTATGGAATATTTGAAGGTTTTAAACTGGTTTTGGCGAGTCTAGCCAAACGCCAATCTTCTGGTTCAAATTTAATATTTATCCAGTTCATGATCGAAGTCTGTGGGTGACAGAAACAACATATATAGTAGTTATATAGTAAAATAATAATTAGCATTCAGAATTCATGTGGCAAAAACCTTGTCGAACAGTATAATTATTTACACAATTTTAAACTAATCAATCCACTTTATTTTTTCAAGGATTCTGTTAGAATATTAGCAGTAAACGTAGCAATATCACTATCATTCCAATTAACAACAGATGAAATCGTAGAACATATTATGTCAACATTACAAGCACTTTGTGGTAATTTTTTTACATAAACTAATAAGTTCCAACTTATTTTTGAACTTTAATTTTAGACGATTCATCGTGGAGGGTAAGATACCGATGTGCTTTTGAAATCAATAACATTCAATCCTCAATTGGTCCAAACTTAACACGACTCTACTTAATAGATATGTATAAATCATTAATAAGGGATACCGAAGCAAATATTAGAGAAATATCAGCAAGAAACATAGTAAGATTTTGTCAAAATTTGCAAACATCTTATAAAGAACTAGAAAAAGAAAGTGGTGAAAATTTAGACCCGATCATTCAAAAGGAAATATTACCGCTGATTCAAGAATTAGATCAAGATCCTGCTGAGGATGTTCAAGATGGATTATATTCAGTGATAACATCTCTAAGTACTTTGTTGGGGGAAAAATGTACTAAAGATTTTTTGGTGCCGTTAATAACGCGTTGTATTGAAAACGATTCGAGTAAAGTAAAAGAAAATATCATAAATAGTTTAAATAATATTTTATGTGTGATTGGTATTGATGATCTAAGTAAAACGGTGGAAAAATTAATTTCGGATTTATTAAAAAACTCAAATACTTTATGGCGTACAAGAAGAAATTTAATAGTTACTTTAAGTCATATTGCAAAACATTCAAAACAAGAATATTTTGATGAACATTTAAAACATTTATACGTTTCTTTATTAAAAGATGCAATCAACGGTGTTAGAAGAGTTGCACCTTTAGCTTTACCAATATTTGTGAAACATTACACAATGTCATCGTGGGGTAAAGAAAACATAATAAAAATCATATTAGAATTAGCTGGAACTTATGGGTACCGCATCAGATTAATGTCTCTATTTTGTATTGACGAATTAGTACTTCCAACATTAGACAAAAAATCTGACGGTCTTTTAACAACATTAAAATGTATCCAAGACGAAAATTCTTCGATAGTTTTAAACAAAATCCATAAACTGAACGAGATATTATCAAATAACTTTAATAACGTAGACAATGAATGGTTAAATATCGTCCTTAAATATTGTGAAGACGAAAATTATTTTAACGACAACATAAAATGTTTCGCCGAAGATAGTTTCGATGATTTAAGAAATTGCGTCGATCAACAAATAATTGCCGTTGGTAAAAATGAAATCGATAATCCAAAAGAAGAAAGTTACTTGGAAGGAATTTTATTTCTGATCGTCGTTTGCTTTATGGATGTTATTAGAGAATTGGCACAAGATAAAGTTTATAACGTGAGAATGAGGGCGGCAAGAACATTACATCGTGTTAAAAACTTAAATAAACAGCTAACCGAAGAATTAAATCAACCGTGGGTTAATAGCGTTTTAAATATTTTATCAAATGATGAAAGGGAAACTATAAATATAGAGTTGCAAAACGATTTAACCAACGGTCATATTAAATTTTTAGAACTTAAAAGAGATGTGTTTATAGCGTACATTGAAGACATTCCTGACGTCCCTATTTTGGAAGCGAAAGATATTAAAGAAGAATTGGAAAAAATCGAATTGGAACAACAAATAGCCGAATCTATAGATATATCAGAAACACTCGAAAAAGTAGCGCCAAATGATAAAATTGAAGTTGGAGAGGCTGCAACAGATTTTTTTTTAGCTAAAGAAGATTTTCAAGATTTAGTAGTTTCACCGAATACTAGCAATAATCCAACACCTATGGATCAATCTGAAAATTCGGAAAAGAATAGTAGTACAAAATCTATAGCAAATGATGCACCACAAGTAGTTAGTAAAGAAGCAGTATTTATATCGGATGATATAGAAATTTAATAAAGTAAAATTAATATATTATTCTTAACTTAATAATTATTTATATGTAATGTTTGTAAGATATTTTGTAATAAATTCTATATAACTGTATTTATTGGTCTGATAAAACAATTTTTCACAGATATCTAAATAGCAACGTCAAATTTATCATTTGAGATCGGATTTATAATTGACAGATTTATACCGACATAGATAATCGAAGAATTATTTATGTCCTGATTTAAATAATGCTGAAATATTGTAAAAGCTAATTTCAAACAATCATTTGGCTTTTTGATTTTGTGAGCTAAGTTATTCATAGAATTTTAGTGTTTCGAGCTGTATAAGTTTTATGAGCATAAAAATTCATTATTTGTATACCCACTTAGGCCGATTCCCTGAAAATTTAGGCGGTACTGTGAGATAAAAATCCAACTCCTATTTGTATTATGGATTATTAAAGTTATTCTAAAGAATATTCACATCTTAATACACTAAATATAATACTAGAAAATCATATAAAATTGACTTTAGTAAAGTAAAAAATTCCTTTTTTTACGATACAATTTTATGTTTTAAAATAGGTCATTATGTAATGTTAGAGTAAAGAAAACAAGCGCCCACGGTTATATTAAAAATACTTCTGCCGTAAACACTATATTTACCGATGACGAAAGATAGAAATTAAAAAGAATCGATATTTTCAAAAGATATTTCATTTGTAAATCAAATGAACACACCGCAAATGTAACAATACATAAATATTATCAAATACGAGAAAGTTTTGCATAATTTATGATGTACATATTAACATTTTATTCAAACATCTTGCAGTTGAATGATTAAATATTTTCTAGAAATCTTATCAACTGCCAACTTCTTACGCAGCTCTTATTTTATATATTTTCCTGCTTAAATTTATGTGTCATTGTATAAAAACAGACTGAAATAAAAAAATCTTTTTTGTATTTTTATGTATGGAACAATAATTTCGAGTTTTCCATTTCTTTTTGTTTCGAATGATTTCATTCGTGTTCTTTCCAACCACACCACGTGCTCTAGTAATAAATAGTAACTGTAAACATATCACATATTTAAAAGACAAACTGGAAAACGTTCCAAGTTTTGTGTACTCGGACCGTAAACAATCCCGTCCAATGTTTACGATATCCATGATTCACCACCAAACTCCTCTAAAGGCGTTAAAAGATTTAATCGAATCCAAACAATTTTTTTGACATTAAAAAAAAATCAAATAATTAATTCTTTAAAACACAACTGTTTCCAAAATTACTTTTAGCTAAAATAGCATTTGATCAACTCGGTAGTAACCAAAAGCTATAAATACTTGCAGCACACTTGTTGCAAGTCAATGACCGTGGTGCATGCAACGCGAGAGAGAGATGAAACGGTTAAAGCGCATGAAAACGTTTCTTACCTTGCAGCTGGTAAATAGTCGCTTGGTACTCTGCCAATTTTTCGTCGACGTAGTCCTGAGACTGGTTTGCGATTATCTCCGCAGTGGACGGACCAGAATCCTCTTCGTCTGGGTCGTAGTGTTGCGGTAACGGCGGTGGTTCTAATGGCATACCCACGAACTCGTACTCAACTCTCCCAGCAGAACTTACTTCTGGAGAAGAAATTGAAATCGGGGAAAGAATTCTGTGAGATGTTTCATAAGGTGACATTCCTCGATAATAATCTGGTGAAGCACATCTCATAGGAGCGGGCGATGGCTAGAAATATTATAATAATAATAAATATCAATAAGAATAGTTAAGAAATGATGTTCTTACTGGATGCATTGGTAATCTGAATGGTTTGGGACCTTGATTAACAACCGGGGATGGAGCCCTTGGGATAGAAGCTGGCCATCTAGGTCTTGGGCAAGGCATCGATGGTCTGGCTCCATAATCGGGGCCTCCTAGTCTTGGCGGAGGCGACGGTGCGTACGGAGAAGGAGGTCTAAAATGATGTGGAGATCTTCCACTTCCGCGACCTCCTGGTCCCGACATTTTTTTGTACTTTATTCTTTCAAACCGTCATATTCTTTAAAATCTGCACCAAAATAAAACAAATGTGTTAGGATTTATAAAAAGACTTCGATCGTTACAGTGAGACCAAATCCAAAAATAGGTACTAATTCAAACAGAGAAAAAATAAAGGTACCGGAATTGCTTGAACGACGAAAGTCGAATATAGCTACGGATGTTTAAACACAGTTTTTGAATAAACACTTTGTATTCTGTAAATTGTTGCGTTAATTTGAATAACAAATAAGAAGACATTTTCGAATTAAAGTCTTTTATTTTTTTAGAATACAACCCTACCATTTTCTACACTTTGTTTCCATAAAGAAGTTCCAATCGGATTGAACAATAACAAACAATACACTCACAAATTCGAATGTTCCCCTTCAAGTTCCTTTTTCGGTGAATATAAATCGACTCAAACAAACCGTTGCTCGCGTTTCCCGGAAAACAAATTTATTTTTCTTTTCCCCTTTTACTTAAATACCGCGGTGCTTTTATTAGTTTACCGAACACCGCTTCCAATGAGACGAACGGATGGTTTTCGAACAGAAGCGTGTTCCACTGACTGAGCGGTAAGAAAATCACGTTTATTTCTGGCGACCGCTTCGAAGCCACGTCAAAACGTTAATCTCGGTATAGGTTCGATTTGAAAATAGCGATGCGTGAATGCATCCACAGACAGTGGGCCAAAACGTCTAAGAGGCTAGAGATCTTAGTCATTGGAATTGACCATGGTCGGATTACCGATTGAATTGCGCGTTACTCTTCAATATTTATAGACGGATCGGTTGGCAAATTTGTTCTAGATATTGTAACAAATTCGCGAGATTTGGTGGTGTGCCAAAATTTGCAACGCATCGCCACTTTGAGGATCTATTAACTTAATAATAAAATTAATATTAGATATATGAAAGTTAAGAAATAAGTACAAAATGCATTTAAGATCAATATATTATATGTATAATGTTTAATAAATCTATGTGGCTCAAGGCAAGTATAATAACATCTTAAAATATATTAAGAAAAACATGTTCTTCCAAAAACATCCTTACCTGTCTCAATACGCATACTTTTCTACTATGTTCGATGAAATCGTAGTAAGTAGTTAGTATGTTTTATCCCCCACTAGTTTAAAAGGGAACCAATAGAAACACAGTTTATGTCATATTCCATTCAACATTTTCTCATGTGCACTACACATCCAAAAATACACAATCATGTATTTATTGGCAAGAGTAATCAAATATTTCCACCTTGGCATATTTCCACACGCTTCAGCAAGTTCATCCATCAACAGTCATTGGGTTTTCTTTAGCTATTATGTAGTTCATAAACATTTTGACTTGGTATAATAAAAATATATGTAAAAAATTGGTAAATGAAACAACGTTATATATTCAATTTGATCTATCATACTAGTACAGATAACTTTGTTCTGATTCAAAAATCTCCTGTATATTTAAATACTGTATATTTACTAGAATCTTTAGAATACAAACTAGAATGTTGATCCATGTTGCTCAACATTTCTAAACCAATGTTAAACTATGGCTAAGCCAACTCGTCAAATCTGCCTGTTAGTGGCAAACCGAATTTTTTAGATTATTCTTATAAGAGTTAATGATTAGGACTTCCCAAGATATTCAAGAAATTTTGAACGTTTTCTTTGAATTTCGAGAGAATTTTGGAGGGTACTTAAAGATATTTCAAAAACTTCTAACGATGTTCAAAATCAAAGATTTCTGCTGTTTCTCAAAGATATTCTGGAATTTCTACAAATATGTTATGATTTCCAAAGGATTCTTAAAGAATTTCTTATAATTTTCGATGGCATTAAGTCGTTCTAAGGATTTCCACAAAGGCAAAGCTATTTCTAAAGGGTTTTTGGGAATTTTCAGAGTATATCAAAGAATTCTCAGGATTTTTATAGATATCCATTAGATATCCAAGGATATATAAAGATGTTCTAGGATTTCTAAAGAATTACTATATAACGCAAAATTTTCGGACGCAACACAGAATTCCTCATTTTCTTGAAACTTTTTAGAGCATCTTTAAACATGTTTGATCATATCCAACATACTACTATTTAGTAAAAGTCCAAAGGTGACTTAGGATTTCCAAGATTTTTAGTAATAATCAGGATTTTCTAAAAAAGGAATTATAATGTTATCCAAAAATTACTAAAGATCTCTTAAGAAATTTCTAGAAAATCCAGGAAACTTTCAGAACCTTCCGAGGATTAGCAATGATATCAAATCATTAGCGAGAATATTTAGGGACAACGAAGACTTTCTACAGACTTTTTAAGATATCGTAAAATTTGCAAAGGTTTCCTACAATTTCCAAAAATTCTCAAAAATTTTCAACAGATATCCAAAGATTTCCAGAACATTTTCAAAGATATCTAGAGGATATTTCTAATGCTAAAATTAGTTAGCTAAAATTCCCAAAAATTTTTAATAATTTTCAAAAACTTTCTCCGAACTTTTGCAAATATGCGACACGGTAGTTGCAATATTATTTTAGATAGATTTTCAAAAACTTCAAAGGATTTGCAGCGAAATCAAAAGATTTTTAAGGAATTTCTAAAGAGTTTCAAAGACGTAGGTCCTTTTTCTCGTATTTTCAAAAGACTAAGAGAGATCTAAAGATTTTCTGGAACTTTACAGAGGTTATTCTGAAAGGCAAAGATTCTTATGGCTCTTATATCCAGTAATTCCTAGAGACATCTTGACAGGTGCGGAAAATGTGCAACAAATTAAAATAATTTAGAAAATTATCAAAGGATTTTTAGAAAATATCTATCAGAGGTTGTCTAAAAGTTTTCAAACATATCTAGAGTAATCCCAGCAAATTCAAAGAAATTCTAGAGATGGGTTGAGGTTTCTAAACGATTTTCTGTAACTTCGAAGAATTGTTAGTGATATAATAAAAGATTTGTAACGGGTTTCAAAACAATCAAGTTGTATCTAAGGAATTTAATATCCAAAAAATACATACAGATTTTGCAAGAATGTTAAAGGATTTCCAAATGACTTTTTAATTTCTCAAAGATATCTAGAGGTTTCTAAGTGTTTCCAACAAAATCCAGATATTTCTAGAAATGCGTTGAGGTTTTTGAAAATTTTTGAAAAACTTTATACGATAGTTAATAGTACTAAACAATACTGAAATGATTACTGAAGAGTTTCAAAAATATCAAGTTGTTTCCAAGGAGTTTCAACGGATGTACAATGATTTTGCATAAATGTTAAAGTATTTTCAGATGGTTTCTAAAGATTATGGAAGATATAAAAACGATTTCAAAGATATTTACACATTCCTAATGAAATCGAGAAATGTCTAAAGATGTCTAAAAGTATCTTTTCAACTTAGAAATCATTGACATTTACAATGATTAAAAAAATTTCTCTTTAAATTGTGTAAATTAAAGTCACAAATTATTAGTTCAAGTTACCTTTTCTTTGCTTTACTCCTCTGTTTGCTGATCTTTTTAAATCTCGTGTTTTGCTGGCGCATAGCTTAAAATATACCTACTGACGCCCACTTAACTTCGTAACTTCAACTTCGAACGATCCGTTCTCCCGGTGGACGTGTTACTTTCGAAAATACAATCGTGGCTTTTATATTTTAATACTCGTTGAATCATAACGGGCACAGATTTATGGCGTCGGGTTTAAGAAGGATATATATAAAAATTTTATCTTCAACATTAAGTCTATTAAAAATTTTTATTTTCAGCCGTATCTTCGTGTAACACCTATCGTGTTAACGTTTTCTAATCTAACGGAATATGGTGCGGTTTTGAACCAGTCCCTGATAAATTGAATTAAGGTCAGACATGCTATTTATAAGACTTACACTTGAAATAGGCCGTCCGACAAACCACACCGAACAAATGTCTGCGGCTATGAAATCGAATCAACGTGTATATAATTTGAACGGTAATTGGTTATTTTCAAGTAGCTATCAGTAATAAAAATTTGTAGTTGTGGTTTATGACTTTATAGTTATAAGTTATTTTCTGAACTAATTTGTCAACGATTCAAATAGGTTTTTTTTGCAACACCTATTTCATCTTAGCCAAACCACACAGCTGTTGCAAATTTTGCTGAGCAACGCGCCATTAATATAAACGCTCATTGATATAAGTAGGTAGGAAAAAACTAATTTGTCATGTCAAAAAAATTACAAATAGAGGAAAAATGTTTTAAAATAACATTTAAGAACATCTACAGATATATAGATATAACATCTTTAGAGTCCCCTTATAACGCAAATCAAGCGAGCATTAATTTTGGTAAAGCTGCGATAAAGCTTCCGGCACATTAAAGCTAAAGTTAGTTGTAGTAAACTTATTATAATTATATCCGTGGGCCACAAATGTTTATATAAATATAGAAGGTCGATGTACCACAAAGTTTTATTGCTTTGTAATGTGGATGCGACATAATGAGTTATTTAAAAGTAGGATGAATTAAAATGTCTTGTTTAATATTAATAGCCTTAAGAAAATTTTTGTAATAAAATGGATTATTTTTTAAATAAATGTTTAACATCATTTAGAACAACACATTTCTTCTAATATATAAAACTAAGGTGTGGAAAATGTTTACGTACCAAAAAAATCAATCCTAAGAAAAAGACGTGCACACTTCACTGGGATGCACTAAAACTGAAAAGTCTGGACATAGTTGAAACTCCTGTACCCCTTCCTGGTTTTAAATTTAATTTTAGATTTGGCAGCTAGACGCCTAAAGACGCCGAGCGTCGCGCCACATCATACTCACAACGGTACCCTTGCATAAGTTCATTTACACGTCTACAGCCAAGAAAATTTGCACTTGATAATCAACTTTCTTAAGACTCTTCAAATCATAAACATTTGCAAATCTAATATAGCAAGTTAAGGATGGTTTAAAAATAGAATAAAGATTCAATAAAGAGTAACCATTAGTTTAATGGTTCTTTAGTGTAAAGGATATGAATATACAGGATGTATCTAAAAAAAGCCAACGTAAGGGTAATCTATAAATAATTAAACTATAAAAGTTAAATGTTAATTCAATCTTACTGATGATCTTCATTACCAGACAAAAAAGTGACAAAAGAAACACAAATTCAAGAAAAAATAATTTAACAAATAAAAGAAACATTTATAAGTGATATTTTATTGATGACCAAACAATTTACAAAACTTGGTTGTAATATGTTTTGGGAAAGAAATGGGAACAGCTTGAAATGTTTTGAAAGAAGAGCCGGCAGTAAAATTAGGAACGATGTGTTTATGACTTAAATCCAAATGGTTCGAATGCCGGCAACCATATATATATGTATGTATTCACAATTCGTATTTTGGGGATTGTGGCTGATTCCGTTCTTTGAAGGTCTTTTCAGCACAACTTATCATTTTTGTTCTTTGAATGAATTGATGATTAACTGTTTGCATGTTACCTGAGGTTCAGCAACATTATATTTCAGGTCCAGTACTCTTGTTCCATCACTTACGGTGTAATTTGGATATTTGTATTGAACATACATTTTGTTTTGGATATCCCTGAGAGACTAATTGCCTGAATCTTAAATGGAGTCAAATAACATTGCGATGATAACACGTCCCATGTCAACAATTCTGAAGAAGTACAAGAGAGAACTACAAACCAAACTGAGCAAATAACTCATATGAAAGACCATGGTAAATAACGCTTACAACATTGAGGACAAAATCTTGACACAGGTAGGTAGTGGCTTTTACATTCCAGTTCGGAGCTTATCTAGATATTGCAGAAAAGCAATGGATGAAAGTAAGAAATTAATGCTTTCCAAAAGCTCGAGCCTTTCTATCACTGGAACTATCCGAAATCCATATGGAGCCCCCAGGCAAGTAGATATTTGCTTCTTTATAGTAATGATTCGTATCATTGTCACGTAGACTTCCCTACATATCATAACTGCAGTTTTGTTCTGTTGTAGGTGTTCACAATTCAATAAAAATTCGAGCTAAGTAAGTATTTGAAAAAGCATCAGATGTTTACTTTGTTCTTCCAACAAAGTAAGTAAAAAAATTTGCTTACCAGATTGCGAACTAAATCAAATAGATAAATTTGAGTACTGAGGATGTAAGGTGACCTGACCTGACGTTGGCAAGTTTTTCACTTTATCATTAACAATACCGAACTGCCAATTAGGATGAACAATTGTTCAAAGGTCAGGTAGAGATCTACAGAAAAAGGTGTCGTTATTACTTTCTTTTTATTACAGGTTCAGTGTTAGTACCTACTAGAAGTATACATGACTCGCAATTATCCATTAAGAGTCATGACTCGTGCAAAGGAAATTGACCCTAAAATAATACATTAAAAAAAATTCTTCTCTAAAAAATTATATCTGATTTTCAAGTGGAGTATGTATTTTTTCAGCACAGACATATTTGAGAAGTTAGACCATTATGCCATATGTCATCATAAGGCACACTAGCATTAGCAGCTATTTCATCATCATCATAATATATGTTCTCCAAAGCCTATTCTAACAAATAGTCATCTCAAACAGCGAATTGCACCTCAAAAATTCAATAAAAAAAAGGTTGGGTTGGGTCAATTTAAGTTTTCTTCTGCGAATTTTAATGACGCCGTGTCACATATTTGCTATGTCGCATGTCTTGGTCTTCTGTGATGACAGTTCAAAGAGTTAAACACCTCTTCATGATGGAAAGCTTCACCTTAAGCCACTTGCCTAGATGAATTTGTAAAGAAGGGTTTTCATTTCACAGTTTCCTTGAAGCGTTTCAAAAAAAACTTCTACTGTAACCTTACGATAGGTAACTCTTAATGTTTATAACTAATTTCTTGTCTCATTGGTCAATTTTAAATGCACTCCATACTTGACTTGTAGAACAAATTGCTTTCCTACTTGAACTATATTTTTCATCATTATATCTTAATCTTTTTTTGCAAAGTCGGAAGTATTAGTTGGTTTACTATAGAACAGTTCCGGTCTGTTTTCCTCGCAGGACTTTTCATAAAATTTTTCGCAGAAACATGGCGGTTTTGAACATTCCTAAATAAAAAGGTATTTTGCATTTCCTGAAAATCAAAAACGATTTGTATAAATTTATTTATAAAATATTATAATAAAAAAATATTATTATAAAATATTTAGTATAGTATTTTAATTTAGAATCTCATTAAATTTTACAGTTATGATTGTAGGCCACCATCCATATCCTCGTTGAAAATCGTTATTTTAGAGAACTGTAATTTTAGTTGAATAATGATTCCACATTTCCTAACTAGATGTCTCTATTAATTAGAGAACTGTCATATCTGTCAGTTAACTTTTCGATGTCGTATTTTCATATAAGTTTATGCTTTCAATTTAAGCTTTTCTCCACTATTTCTCGCTGCATTGACTTCCTTTCCCCCTATCTTTTCAGTAAATCTGCAGGGGAACGTACAATAGATACAACCCTATTATTTTGAGGCCCCCCTCCAACGACGACAAACACAGTAGAGTTGTGCGCTATTGTGGTTCTGGGAATTAAAAATACACACGCCGGAGACAATCGGTTTTTACACTAACAAAACTATCCGCAATATTCCCGTTTTTAACTCGTCGTCTTTTCAAAATACAGTTTTCCTTACGACCTTGTACATTGAAACGTCATTATTTAACCCTCTAAAGAAGCAATACAATTTGGAAAAAAAAACAATTTTTAATCAAAATAAAGCAAAAATACAATTAAAACTTACCTTTACATTTAAGTAAGTAATTTGTTTTTATTATCATAAAAAATTCGAAAAGTTACCTTTAAAATTTTAGGTAGTATGGCAGAAGCCGAATTAACACCTCCACCACCTCCAACAATTCGTGGAGAAGGTGACTGGGTTTGTCCTGATTGTGGAAATGTAAATTTTGCCCGTAGAACCGCTTGTAATCGTTGTAATAAGGCTAGAGCACCTATATCAAATAAAAAGAAAAAATTAGGACAAGAAATTGGTAAAGCAGCAGCAGAAAAAAGTCGTGGTTTATTCTCAGCTGATGATTGGCAATGTAACAAATGTGGAAATGTAAATTGGGCAAGAAGACAACAGTGTAACGTTTGTAACGCACCAAAATTTGGTGAAGTTGAAGAAAGAACAGGTTTCGGAGGTGGTTATAATGATAGAGGTGTCGTAGAATATAAAGATCGTAAAGAAGACTCGGATGATGAATACGACGAATTTGGAAGAAAAAAAAAACGAAAGGAAAGAAAAAATCGTGAAGAAAACGATAAAAATGATGATGACGATGAGGATGAAGAAGATGATGAAGATGGAGATTTATCAAAATATGATCTTACGGATTTTGGGGATGAAGATGAATCAAGAAGGTCAAGGTCACGGTCTAGATCACCAAGAGATAGACGAAAGTAAAAGAATTGATTCTGAAAAAGATTGAGTTTTAAAACATAACAATAAGTTAATACAAAAAACAGTCACAAGAATTTCCTTTATTTTAATCTTTAAATTTAATTTCATTTTTAAGAGTTATATGTACAATAAGAATAAGAAATTGTTAATAATAATTAATTATTACGCCTTGTAATGCCCAAAATGTATTAATACAAACAAAAAGAAGATATACGTTTTACAAATTACACAATTTGTATTATACACTTCTTTAGATAATCTCAAATTATTTTTGAGTAATGACGAACAATTAATTTAGTAAAAAAAATAGCGTTACTTATTAATTACTACCAAATACTGTAATTATAATTATTAAAACAAAAAATGGATATTAAAATTTCAATTTTTGAATGATGTGAAATTTGTTTTATGGAAAGATAATAGATGCAATTAAGAACATATCATGCTGGCGTGCTTTCTAAAATAAAGCTTAAGAAATATTTTCGTTTAAATTATTATTTTTATTTTTCTACTTTATATTATGACAGATTTGACATAATGACAGATTTGAATAGGAAGGCAACATAATGACAGATTTAAAAAAAAGTGTTAATTATTACAAAATGTTAAAAATTTTAAATTTTATTTCCTTTTCAGCATTAAAATGATATACAATTGATTTATTTCCTTTTTAAGTTATTGATTATATTAGAAATCACAAAAAATCATTTTCTTAATTAACTGAAATTTAACATCTGAATGTTTCCATTATTACTATGATATTTTTTATTTATTCTAATTTATAAGCAAATGTATATGAAAAATATTAAATATGTTGTTAAAATAAATGTTTGAATATTATTTTATAAATTCCGCTTTTAGTTTATAAATTATATCAGCTATTAGTTGACAGATGTCGTTTTGAGGTTATTTATTTGTCCAGTTACGAGCGCCGCCTAACATGGATTTTGTTAATGATTTTTACAAAAATATATCTCGCCGTTACGTCCTGTTGCAACTGCTCCCCGAAAAATTTTCGACAACGCTAAAACAATAAATTCGTAAGTGGATAGTTGTTGTATTTCCTACGTTCGGGTACGCTCGAACTGGACCACCACGTTAACGGTCAGATATCGGCCGCTCATTGTTCACGTTTTTACAGTGTAGTGAAGCACTAGCCCAAACACGACGGTAGCACTCGGTTCTACAATGGCAGCCAGCGATTCAGCGGGCGATGATTCTTTATATCCAATCGCTGTACTCATCGACGAACTCAAAAACGAGGACGTACAGGTAAGAAATACAACAAAATTGTTGTTAAAATGTCGATAGACTAGCGGGAAGTGGACTCCTGTAAACGTGGTACCGCAATCTCAGGTTATGACATCATATGTGTCAAATGCCCGGTATTTAGCCGCTCAGTTTAATTGAAATTCAATTTAAATTAATTAAAACTATTCATTTTTCGTCGTTTTAATGGCATTTTAACGGAATTGGTAAGAATGTGTCGATGGGTTATCATAAGATGAGAAAAATCGTTTTGATTCCTTTCACATGATTGATGCTGTCAAATTGTCTCTAGAATCTTCAATGTCTCCGCTAATAAACTAATTTAATTTTAATAGATACGTGATCATTATTATAAGAATTTATTTATCCTGATCTTTATTAAAGGTTTCATTTTAATAATGACATATCAAAACATAAATCAACAAATTAGTTTCATATACAGGTGTTTTCGATTAAATGCTAAGTGTTATATGGTGTTAAGTTTGACATTGTGCTGTTTAATTTTTATCATGTTTGTTTTTATATTCTTATTGAATAACTGCTCGAAATAGTTACTCTAGTTCAATAAATTTGTGGTAATAGTGATCTTAGAGTTTTTATAGTGATTTTATCACCTATTCTTTACAATACTGCCAATGGAAATTACTTTATGTATTTATGTAGATTAGACAACGTTATAATTTATTGCAAGCATCACCTAAATGGATTACTTCTAATTAATTTCCTTGCAACATATTTTGGATTTAATTTAAAAGCAAAAGGTTTCTAAATAAATACTAAAAGAATTTAATTTTTGTTTATATTTGGTAAATACAGTTATAAGTCAATAAAATTCCCTCTCAATTTTTTAGAGTGCATTTCAATATTTGCTTCCAAAAGTTTTTATTCAACATTTATATTATTATGAAATAAAACTAAATTATATACTAAATACAGTCGTCTGAACATGGAATATATCGAAATTTCAATAATTTTTGCATCAATTTTGTCTTAGGAAGCCAACAAATCTTTATTAGAAATTTTATTTTTATGTATAGGCACATTTTAGTTTATGTGCCAAACTGCACCAATATATGTACGTAAAATCAAAAACTATTGACGCTCTCTTGGTGGTGATATGGATTCAATTTTAAGCTATATTAGGAGATGCGAATCTAGCAAAAGCTGATGTCCTGGACGTTGATGATTTTTGCATGAATAAAGCTATTCAGAGTTATCCCAATAGCAGTTATTTTCTTGTCTTTTTAGATTTTTTTATAACAACTATAAGCATTCCATAGATTTGCAATAACTTTGGCCATTGCTTTGTTAAGGTACTCAAATGCTTTTAATATATACGTTATCAATCTTTCAGATGGTTCGATATCATAAACTTTATAGTGTATTTCTCTTGTGTTTCAAGGTTTAACAGATCTTCGTTGATCAAAGAGCTGTCATGGGAAGCAAATAGTTCATTTACATCTACTAATTCTAAATCACCAATTATCCTTGGACATAACTTTTCCCAAGATTTCTGTAGTTTCGTTAATCTCTTTCCAAGCATCGTGTGTTATTTCAATACAATCTAAAATATGGAAATTTCCAAAAAGATAACTCTTTACTCAAGGACACGCTGTGGGAATTTTTTTATCCATTTGACTCATATGGATAATTAGGTATCTGCTATATCTCGACAACGGTAAGGTCTAGAGTTTTTGGACAAAAATTGTTATGGGCAAAGTGGGCAACAGAATTCATTGAATGTGTATTATTGGTTCGAGCAAAACCGACATTGGATGTGGCATATAGAGAAGAATCGCGTTGCTAATAACGAATTAGAAGAGGAAGTGTATTTTTCTATATGTCGTGTTCGCCACATCTAACTTGTTTAGATTTTTATCTATGGAGAAGACTAAATGCCCTGCTTTTTCTTCTCTTCCTGACACTTAAGCGGTGACTTTTTCTACCGAAACTAGATTAAATAAATGCATCGACATTAATGGAAAATATAGCCAACATATGTGAGCTATTTCTAGCTAAAATTTGAGTAATTCTAACTGTTTTGGTTTATTTTGGTTTATTGTCATTGTTGATGTTTCGTTGGTCCGTTAGTCTCAAAAATAGTTTTGAATCGGTCCTAGGTTGGATAAAGTGTGAAGGAAACCTCTAAATGATAACATTTTTGTGCTCTGTAATTTGTTTGCTAATGTAACTTGATTTTAACAGTTTCTTCTATAATTCAAGAATGGATGAGGATATCGTGATGCAGTTTGTTACTAATATGAGAGTTTTCTTTAAGTTTTCGGTAGCAATATAATTTAGTTTATTGTATGTACTAAATCACTTAAAGATAATTTGTTTACTTTGTAATAAAAGTACCACTTATTCGAAGTGCTCAATCAAACTTAACACTAATTGATAGATATTTAATAATAAATCTACACAAATATAAAATAATATCCTGTTAGATAATCGATCATGAACACTTTTTCTTATTAATAAAAACTTCTCTACAAAATTAACATAAATTATTGTTCTAACAATATTGTTTGTTTTTCTAGTTACGTCTTAATTCAATAAAAAAATTATCAACCATAGCATTGGCATTGGGTGTTGAACGTACACGTACGGAACTGATTCCGTTCCTAACCGAAACAATCTACGATGAAGATGAAGTCTTGTTGGCTCTAGCCGAACAATTGGGTAATTTTATAACGTTAATCGGCGGGCCCGAGCACGCGTATTGCTTATTGCCTCCGCTTGAAAGCCTGGCAAACGTCGAGGAGACGGTCGTTCGAGATAAAGCCGTTGAATCGCTACGCGCCGTGGCACAACAACACAACCCTACGGACCTAGAAAATCATTTTGTTCCGTTGTTGAATCGGTTGGCGTCGGGGGATTGGTTTACATCGAGAACGTCCGCTTGCGGCCTGTTCGCAGTATGCTATGCACGCGTTTCCGCCCAAGTTAAAGCAGATCTTCGCAATCATTTTCGCGCCCTATGTCAGGATGATACGCCAATGGTTAAACGGGCCGCTGCTTCGAAATTAGGCGAATTAGCTCAAGTGGTTGAGCTCGAGTATTTGAAGTCGGATTTAATACCTATGTTTGTTAATCTAGCACAAGATGAACAGGTTTGAAAGAAAAGAAAACAATTTGTTTTTAATTAAAAATTATGTTTATTTCTTTTTATTAGGATTCTGTTAGGTTGTTGGCTGTGGAAGCATGTGTGAATATTGCGGCTTTGTTGTCGCAAGAAGATGTTGAACAACTTGTCATGCCCACATTAAGACAATGTACAGGTAGGTTTTGAATGTATGTGTTATAATTAAATGTTGACTAATGCCAGAAATATATAAAATTAAGAAATAACGGATGACTCAAAACTAAATAAACTAAAAGTATTTTTATTTGTCATTACTATGATTCATTCATCCCGTTGCTAATTCTGCCAAAATATACTTGATAATTTTAACATCATTTTAAAATAAGTATAAATATTTTTAATGATGTAAATCTGTTTATTTAGGGGATACATCATGGCGAGTACGTTATATGGTAGCAGATAAATTTACGGAGTTACAAAAAGCAGTTGGGCCAGAAATAACAAGAACCGATCTCGTCCTAGCGTTTCAAAGCCTTTTAAAAGATACGGAAGCGGAAGTTCGCGCAATCGCTGCCAATAAAGTAAAGGAATTTTGTCAAAATTTAGACAAACCTCATCAAGAAAGTATAATTATGACTTATATACTTCCCTGCGTCAAAGAATTAGTTGCTGATCCGAACCAACACGTTAAATCTGCTCTAGCATCTGTTATAATGGGTTTAAGTCCTATTTTGGGTAGACACAACACAATTGATCACTTACTTCCGTTGTTCCTTGCACAACTAAAAGACGAATGTCCCGAAGTAAGATTAAATATTATTTCAAATCTGGATTGCGTGAACGAGGTGGTTGGTATACAGCAATTATCTCAAAGTTTATTGCCTGCAATTGTTGAGTTGGCGGAAGATTCGAAATGGAGAGTTCGATCGGCTATTATTGAGTATATGCCATTGTTAGCAGGACAACTTGGTCAGGAATTTTTTGATGAGAAATTGAACGCGTTGTGCATGAATTGGTTAATGGATCATGTTTTTGCAATTAGAGAAGCTGCAACTCTTAATTTAAGGAAGCTAGTAGATCAATTTGGGGCTGAATGGGCCGAAACGACTATTATCCCAAAAGTATTGGCTATGTCCAGAGATCAAAATTATTTATACCGAATGACATGTTTGTTCTGTATTAATGTTTTGGCGGAAGCTTGCGGAAGCGATATAACAACGCGAGTTTTATTACCGACCGTTCTCAACATGGCTAACGATAAAGTAGCGAATGTTCGTTTTAATGTTGCAAAAACGTTACAAAAGATTGCACCCCAACTTGATCAGGCTGTGATACAGCCACAAGTGAAACCGGTACTTGACAAATTGAACATCGATTCAGACGTTGATGTAAAATATTCTGCGTCGGAGGCCATAGCTGGGATTGCTGGTAAGTGCCCAAAACCAATTCCGAATAAATTATAAATTTCTTTCGCTTTATTCTTCCATGTTTTTTTTAACATTTAAGACATCCGTATTTTATTACTGTAATATGACTTTATTATCGCGTATTTTGTAATAAAGGTTTTTTCCTTAACAATTTGATTAAAAGAAATCTTTAGCATTTTTTGCACTTTTCGACTTACTCTCTTAAGCATGGTTTATTATTATTTTTTTAAACATATAGTGCCTAGGATGCAACCTTTTGATGGTTTTTATTTTTTCCAGCTTTAGGTTGAGCACTCATTTGCATTTCAATTGGGACATCAAGTAAAGATTTGAAAGCAAAGTCTCGAAACCATTATTATTTCGTAAATAACCTAAATAGATCGTAAAAAATAAGTAAAAGTACATGTAACTGTTGTGCTGAAAAAAAATTAATACTGTGTAAAATAGTGTCTTGCTAGTAAACCTTAGTATTATTGATCAACGGAAAGTAAAAGACCCGAGCGTGGACGCGGATGTGTGAGAACAGGGAGAAATACAAATTAACACTGCTGAATATGTACATTTAGACACTATTTTGTATCGAAATTTTATTTATTTCCACGTAATGGGGGATTTTTTTTGTTTTTCTATACAATTGTTCAAATAACATTAAGGTTATCATTTAAGATTTATTAAAGTATAGTTTGGCTATAAGCAGAATGATGTGTTTCTCATCCTTTCATCTCAATCATTTTTTAAGTATTTTACTATGTATAATAAAAAGTTTACATTAATATGATTTTTTTTGATACTCTCATATTCCAGTGGTGTCCTAATTTTATTCCAAATGAAATCCATATTAAAAAATATTGAAACTATTTATTTAAAACTTATTAATATATACATTTTTATAATAGGTTACTCTATGATACTTTTTATACAATGTGGGGTAGTCAAAATGTACCTATGTCATAAGTATTAAGAAAATTTGAAATTCTTGTACATTTATTTTTGTCATTTAAGAATAGCTTAGGGATTTGCATAAAAATCTGACGTCTTTTTAACTATGAAAATAGTTTAGAAGGATAAATAAAAATATCTTGGCAAAAGAAGTTTAGCGTGTTTATGATTTATTGCGAATTTTCCAAAAAAAAAAATCATAATAGGCAGATTTTTTTGCCAAATATTTTCTAATTTATCAGGCAACTAAAAATACGGATTTTCTTATGTTTTTTACCTTTAAAATAGCCGATTTGACTACCTCAATATTTTCAAGTATATATAAACTAGTGCAAGATAATGGCATTTTTCACAAATCTTGGTAACAAAGAGAATGGTGTTAGAAAAGTCTGGAAATGCTAAAATATCTCAATAACGATGTAATTTAAAGTATATTATTACTTGAGATATATTACATACTTGTATCATTTCATTTATACTGTATGAAGATTACATATTTATTAACGTGTATACCGAATTTATTACATGTTTTGTATGTTGTAGAAAGCTGAATTTGAGATCAACGATAACCGTGTAAAACTGGTTGCCTAAAGAATTATGGATAAGATTTGTTTTGAACAGACCAATTTATTTGCTGAACGCTACGATATTCAGCGTTTATGTTGTATATGCAGAAACCTTTATAATCATCATCAAAAATACATCACTATTTATTGCTTTGAGAACGATTATTTCAGAAATACGTCGTTTTGAGGTATTTGACAGTTTCCAGTCGTTTATAACACCCTATATAAACAAAATAAAATCCTTTAAAAAATGTTTTTAGAAATTATCCCAAAATATTGTATTCAATCTAAAGCAAAATTCTATTTTTGTAAACAAAGCAAAGTAAAAACTTGAACAATAACAAAAACAATCAAAAAGTTGTTACTACACGTCCCCGGATTGCATAGTTTCTACAATCCATTCAACATTCGATGTTATTTTATCGTACATTCTTGGCCGGTCCACTCTTGTTCTTAAACAAGCTATTCTCCAATTTGATACACCAATTAAAGACCACCTTGATCCGTTGGGTTGTAAACATAACAATGGACTTCCTGCAAATTCTTCTTCCTAAAACATTAATTTTTATACAATTTATACAAAATTAACATTTTTATAATGCTACTCGCCGACCGACCCATCCGAGGAAGAAGAAATGGAAAGTTTCTACGACGCACTCACACAAACGATAGAAAGGATAAAGATAGGATGATATAACTCTGATAATGGGTAAAATGAACGCAAAGCTGGGAGAGATGAATATTGGCTTGGAGAACATCATGGGAAACTATGGCCTAGGAAATAGAAACCAGAACGGTGAATTTGTAGATATCTGCATGAACAACGATTTAGCAATTCAAGGAATACTCTTCCCACACAATGCCTTAGGCAACATAACTTGGACGTTACCAGATGGCAGAATGACCATCATTTGTTCATCGCAAATATTCAATTGAAGATAGTAAGAAACAGAGGCAAAAAGTACAAAATTGAACCTGGAAAAATTGTCCTTTCATACAATTTCAATCCTTTCATACATGGAGGTTATAAAGAAACCCTAAGGAACAAAATATAAATAATAACCAAAAGACAAGAAAAATAGAAACAAAATGGGGATAACTAAAAACCAAGATAAAGGAAGCAAGTAGAAGTATACTGGGAGAGAGGAAAAAGCTCAAGAAGGAATGGATAACAGATGATACGTGGAGGCTGATAGAGGAAAGAGAAGAGATGAACCAGAGAATTAATCAAACAGATGGCATAAATGTGAAAAGAGGAGTAAATGGGGGATACCAGAATAGCCCATGGAAGAAGCAGAGGATGTCACATTATAGTCAGCATTATATGTCACTATGGGGGTAAGTTTAGTAACCAAATAACAGTCAAGACAGGAGTAAAACAAGGATACTCGCCATCACTCTTACTATTCAATATTGTACTACATTAGGTTCTGAAAAATGAAGATTTTGCAGAAAACAGCATGAGGTGGGACTTTCTAAAGAGTCTAAATGATGAGGAGTATGCTGACGACATATGCCTTTGGTCACATACGCATACAGGTAGCTTACTATATATCTTATAAATCTAGCTTATTCTACGGAAGCGAAAGATGGAAGATGACCCAAAATATAGAAAACAAGATACAAGTATTCATGACCAAATGTTTTAGAAAGGTATTATTTAAGATTTTTTACCAAATGAAGATCTACAAAAGGCGAACCAAGAGCAAATGGAAGTGCTTGACGGAAAATGAGTTAAATGCAAAATATTAACTCATATAACATATTGTCTTTAACAAAACTATTTATTAATATATTTTTTAATACTAATAGCTTACATTGCAATCATCTTGTCCATATGGTGTTTCAGTACAAATACCATTCACACTTGGGATACTCATATTTTCACATTTCGCCATTTTGCTCATTCGTACTTGTACTCTTTGCAATTGATCCCGATTTCTCATCCAACCCAACGTATTACAATACATTAAATTTTCTTTTACACCAAAATTCTTTTTTGGTAAACAAACTGGTCTAACGAAATCGGACATTACTAATGGTTCTTCAAGCTTAATCATTGCCAAAGTGCTTCCTTCAACCGGCGATTTTACCATTCCGACGATTCTTCTTTCTTGTTGCCACGGCGATGTTCCAGATATGCGTATAATTCCTAATCTTACAGTCCATTCTGCTTTTGGTTGACCTTGAAAACAAGATGTTGTGGTTATTACCCAATCTGTTGATATTAAGGTTCCATCGCATATATGGACATCTTCTTTAAATAAAGCTGCATGCCATGGCCAATCTCCGTGCAAAGAAACTTTATTTAGACGTGTACCCGATTGGGAATGTGCAGCTTGATAACCACATTCTAAAAAATGTATGTAAACTTTTTTAAAAATTATTTTAGATTTTTACCTAGGTCATCGCAAGACATTTTTAAGACTTGCTTTGAATTGCATGGTGCTCTTATGAAACTAATTTCAGAAGCTGTAGGATCTTTCATGCTTACGTATGGTACTCCTTGTTCTTTATCAATTTCAACATTTACTGATGTTAGTTTCCTAAACCAAAATGAATGATAGAGTTGAAAAAAAATATAATTCTTTATTTACCTATATGATAGTGCTCTGCATAGAGAACTTGCAACTGTTCTTAGAACTTCAACAGTTTTATTAATAGATAAACTTCGATTTAAGTTTTCCGTACACAATTTTCCAACATCGCCTTTCTCGTTAAAAACTACGAATCCATTAGAAATATACCTAGGTAGGTGTGGCGTCACGAGGATATTTTTCGTCAGGTTGTTAACATTAGGGGCGAGGCTCACTGTAATGATATTTCAAAATTAAATTTCTTGCACCTTTCCATTATATTTTTTTTTCTAATAACGGATCGAAGTTGTACTCATTTACATCGATCATTCTATAACGTGGGTGTTTTCAAATGCTGAGACTGAAAGGAGTGTATTCATTTGTAGAAAATATTTAAAATCAGCCCTAAGGAGGCGTTAAGAAATCAATGTTTTATTAATGAGCCACGGAGATTTACCGTTTCTGCATCTTTGGTCGTCATGTGTGGGGTTTAACTCTTTAATTGTGTAATTGCCTTTGAATTAATTGTAAATATGTATGGTTAAAACTCATGAATAATGAGGTGTGTTCGGGAGTATTGTCTATTAGTGAGTCAAAAAATCTAACTAAATCTTTTCACGTAGCGCTTTATAATCACCACGTACAACACGCTCTTTCGTCGCTCCCGTCCGGACAATCAACGTGTCCATCGCATCGTTGCGTTTTGCGAATGCAAACGCGGCCGATGCCACAGTGAAGTTGGTCACTAGGGCAATAAGAACACGTTCTTTCGTCTGCTAAGTCTTGGCAGTCACCGACGCCGTCGCAATGCCTTGAAGGTAAACCGTGGGTTTTGATGTCCCAGAGGCAATCTAGAACAATAACAAAACGATATTTATTATTAAACAAATTTGCATACCATGTACCATATATGTTCTTAAAAAAATGATTATAAATAATTATAAACCTTGAATGCCACGAGCAATGTGGAACAATACCGAAGGCGTTCACCCACTAGATGAGCTTATAACGTAACGAGATTACATACATAAAACGCCTACGTATTTTGTTGGTGTCGACGGTGTCCTTTAGGACATATTTATCGAGAAAGTTATGACCTAATTGAATTTGGTTAAGTGAAAGAATTTAAAAATTATTTACTTACCTGTGATTGTAAAGGGGTCCCAAAAGAAACCGAAATGTATTTTATAAAAAATAAATTATTAATGTTCCAATTGAGGATGCAATAATTTCTCAATATTACTGTCAATAGGATTGCAAACTACTGCACAAGTTTTGGTCATGACGATGTCCATGAGAGTGCCCAAAAATGATCTCGTTCATGGAGAACATGATGATTCGCTTCCCCATCGTTTTGAGGAGACATTAAACCGCTAGTGATTCTGATTATCATTATCATGTATGTACAGGATGTTTGAATAACCTGATGGTGTGTTAGTTGTGAACTCTATCCTCACTGGAATAGCAGCTTGCAGCTATTCCAGTGGACCCGAACAGTTGTGGGTAATGATTCTTAAACGCACCCCACTTTACTCTCAATGTTCAGTGACATAAACCTCTTTGTGGAGGGAATCATTCGCTTCGAATGAAGGAGCGCACGTTTCCTAAACTGTCCGGGCTCTGGTAATAATGAAAATAGCCAAAACAGTAATGAGATGATATACATACTTAGATCTGATTAGGAAGTGGGTTATCCAGTTTTTTGTCAAAAATGTTGTCCTATTTATTGATTTTGTAACTGTATCAGACTTGATTTTCTTCACACAAAATTAAATCCAACTAAAGAATTGTTTGTCCATTTCGGCTTCCTTTTGTGGATCTCCCTCTTATTAAAAAAAAAGCTTCTAAAGACCCGAAATGAAAAGATTTCATTCACCTCATATCTACGAAATGTATATTCTACTCAGAATAAAACCACCAAATAGATCCCATCAAAATATTGAGAAAAAAAAACAACTACATATTCTACTAATTATTTATTTATACACTTAATATACAAGCTTATAAACCTATTTACAATTTATTGAAATATAAGCTTAAAATAAATAAAATATGTAGTTATTCAGTTTAGGAGTTGTCTCTGGATGTTGAAGTCGGTATAGAAATAGTAGTGGAGGATGAATTAGTTACTAATCCAGTCAATGCAAGTGCAGGCTGATCTTCGCCTATTTGCTGATGGATTTCTTGGCTCATTGTCTGATTGGAAAGGATTGTGTCTAGAAGTAAAGAAGAAGAACGTGGCATAAGTACATGCAAAAGGCGATTAAATGTTGTGTAAATTAGATTATAAAGTATTTAAAAAAAAAAATTAACTTACTCGGTCTAGGAATGCACGATCCAGTACCTTCAAATTCAGGAAATCTATTACAATCTATGATTAATTTAATTTTCGGTGATAAACGACTTCCACATCCATTCATAAAGTCTCTGCAGTAACTTTTACAAGGTAGTACCATATCATCTTCTTTAACTCCTTTCTTACATGGTGGTTGAAGAACGTTACAAACGAAATCATATGCGTTCATATAACATTCAGCATCGACTAATTCTCGAAACAAAATCATATTTTCTTGAACCATGGAAAGGTTTTTGTGGTCAAAAATATTTGGATACGTCGTTATATTGTAAGGTTGTTTACTGCAATACGTTAGTTCCATTTTTGTACATTTCCTTGGTTCCGGTGCTTTCGTTGTTGTGGTGGTTTTAGGTGTTGTTGGTTTTGGAGTTGTACTACTATGAATTGGAGCGTCACTTTCCATTACTTCTATACTATTAGCATCGACCGTTATATTTCTGAAATATAACGATTCTTCGAAAGTGATTTCTTTTTTTAATAAGTCTTTTAAATCGTCCGAGTCGACATCTACAAATGTTGGATCTATTCTTACACTGAAGTGGACGGTTAAATCGTTTCCTTCGTTGCTGAAATTAAATTTTTTTTGTATTAACCACTAAAAGGTATTGTAATGATCACATCCATTATCGCCAGGTGGTTTTACAACCGTTATTGTACAACTACGCAATTACGGTAATCATTACAAACCACGTCGCGTCGTGTGAAGCGTCTTCTTCTATAATTCTCATTATGTATAACAATTTTTGATGTCTCAATAAGTAATTTGATTGTGTTAGTTTTTAAATCTTACCCATCCAAAGCTAAAATTTCAGTTCCTGAGAATCCATGTTTGATATAACTTCTTCTAAACAATAAATTCAGTCTTTCTCTATAATCCCTAGCTCTAACTTTAAAGACGTCGGTGGATGGATCCGCCATGTCTATAACATATCTATCTCCGTTAACTACCTTAAAACTAGCACGATATACATCTTCTTGAGATGTTTGCGAAAAGAAATAAGTATCTGGAACAATAAGAGAAGATGAGTTTCCATCAAATAAAATGTTCTTGTAATTGGGATTACGGGAAATAAGTTAATTGTTACGTAACACACCTGTAGAGTACAAGTAACCATAAAGTAATGTAAAAAAAAATTGTAAGAATTCATTCGCGGCGACACACCTCGCCAAGAAAGAAGGCAACGAAGCAAGGACATGTTTATGTGAAAAAATGTGGACTTGCAACTTTTAAAGTTAACGGAGCATTGCCGTTTGCGGATTAATTTATCCATTACCAATGGCTGGTATGTATCTAATGATAAAAACCGTTTTTTTCTTTTCCTACAAAAACACGATCAGGTTAACTGTACTCTACAAAGTCACGTGAAAGTAGTTGATTAATCATTAATATGGTGTGTGTACACTTAATAGGAAGTTATAAGTTTTTTTCTTACATCCAAAATAAACAGCTGCACTTGCTAATAACAGCAAAAATAAGAAAGAAGCTATAATACAACATCCGCATCGATATTGAGAGCTTAATTTTTTTCTTGTAAATCTTATATCCGAATCTGTTGATAAAATTGAGCTTGCTGATCTTCTGTAATGTCTTGTTCCATTACTGACAGTACTCATGGATACCTGAAACAAAAAAAATATATAGAACCTTAAACAGCATAATAAATCAATCAATCACATTTGAAACTTGTACATTTATTTAGAAAGTGAGTTATTTATCAATATCCAATTATAGAAACCATGACGTGAAACATTTATTATGAATTAATTGTCGATATCACACAAAACAAATATGAGATATAACTTTTAAAAGCAATTTGTTAAGCGATTGTTAACGATTACATTTTTTTCAATAAGACTGTGGTATTATTATCTTTTCAGTATATTATTCTCGATTATAAGCACCTAGTAAAAGCGCATTCCTTCCAAGTCATTGCAAAAGATAGTAACCGTAAAACAATAATAAATCTATTATAAAGTATCGGATAGATTTAACAGGTGAACGTAACTCGATATGTTCAAGTCGCTTTACAAATGATTTACATACGACTGCATACACGGTTTACAGTTAGCAATAACAAATGAATTAGTGCCTACACGTGTATATTTATCACGTGTGTTTGAATTAGTTTATTTTTCTAACACCCCATAATTGACAGAAATGGGTCATAAAAATACTCGTGATTTATTTATTAACACACCATTGTCAATATGATAAGTAATATCTTATTCTGTTTCAGTTACAAGTTATTATAGGATTATGAGTCATGTTGAAGTATAATATAGTCGGTGTTCTTTAATGTTACTTAAGGATGACATTAAGATGCCTACTCACGTTACAAACCCGTATACAATTCTCGGCGAATTTTGCAATCTTTGATTCCATTTCATCCCAGAGAAGAAAACGCAAGACGTCTGTATAATGCTATCCCATTGTGGGATGTTAAGAAGGAAATTTATTAGGAAATCAATGTTGCATCTGCGTTACTCAATAGAAAAGAGAACGTTGATACAAATGTTTACAGTAACTTATCTTACCGTATCAATCTTACGATTTTAATGAAAACCAATGCGATCATCTCGTTACTAACCGCACAAAAAAATAAAATGTCCTATTTGAAAATTGTGTCAAACGCAAGTAACTTTCTTCAATCTCGACCTTTTGACCTCCTTTTATGCTCGGTTAAAACCGTCCAACGTTGGTAACTGAACCGTTACCATTGTTCGGATTCGCGTGCGGGTGAACCTACCACTATAATTACAATGTAAGTGCCAGCATACGATAAATTCGTATGATAAATCGTCTTGCCGACAGAAATTGAATGGAGAAACTACAATGTGTAATGAAAGCGATTTATTCAGAAAGATTTACTATTAAATATAACAAAGAATAATGGGTATCTTGATATGGTATATGCAACAATAAATCAGAATGTTTAAAGGAAGCACAAAATTAATAATACTCAAAAATTTTGCATATATGTCTTGAATTAGGAACGATTTAAGTTGATTTGGCAATATTTATTTTAAACAACAGTTATGTAATCTATCGCTCTTGTTTTGATATTAAGTTGATATTGCTAAAATCCAAGGTTAAATACATCTATCTATAAAAAGTAAATCTACCACAGTAGTTTAGAATTCTTATATTACAGATAAGCGCAACGTGTAATAATAAGTTAACAATTCTCTTCTCTTGCGATAATGTTTTGGCATTTAACTGATCTCTTAATAATGTTTCAAAAAAAGATTGCAATCATACTTTAAATAGAACCTATTGATTGCAATATTCAAAACGAGAGTGTACAGAGTTTGTACACAAAGCAAAAAACACATTTTAGTAGATACTTATGAATGAAGCTGCGTTTGTAAATAATTCATTGACAACAAATCTTATTTTGCTGTTTCGCTTTGTGGCTAGTGATATGCCATAACGGTGGATTCATTAAATAGGAGATAAAAATTTTGACAAATTGTTATTTAGTCTATTTTCAAGGTCTTTATTTAAGACATTAAATAAATAAAATTCTCACCATAAACGAGATAAGAAGTAATTAATTCAAGCATGCTGTAATTTTGACATTAATGCACTGTGTTTTGAAGAGTGCAAAGAATACCGTTTCTCTAAGATGGTCCTTGAGGTAATGATGGAAAAACTGACGAAAATTGCGTTAACAAGATATATTTTACTGATTGAGCTACCTTTACATCGTGAGGGAATACAAATCTGTATAGTGTAAGGTAGTGGAATGGTGTCAATCCCCACTGGATGCTTGAAAACCGTATTCAAATATCACAAAAGTTAAATATGGTCGGATATAATAGGTGGTACTCAGTTAATTAGTCTCTTTTTTTTAGTCTCATTTTGGCATACATGTTCAGCGTTATCTTGATAAAGTATTTCCTGGACAATAGATGGTAGTATTAAATGGTCTCCTCCTTCATCGAATTTCAACCCCAAAGACTATTTTTATTAGAAATACTTAAAAAGTTGAGTTTATAAAACTAAAGCTGGAAGTCTTGATGAGTTAAGGCAACGAATTATCGATAAATCATCTTTAATTACTGGAGAATCTTGGAGGAATGTAATAGAAGCATCCTACCATAGATTAGACTTAATTAATTTTCTTAATGTNAAATAGAACCTATTGATTGCAATATTCAAAACGAGAGTGTACAGAGTTTGTACACAAAGCAAAAAACACATTTTAGTAGATACTTATGAATGAAGCTGCGTTTGTAAATAATTCATTGACAACAAATCTTATTTTGCTGTTTCGCTTTGTGGCTAGTGATATGCCATAACGGTGGATTCATTAAATAGGAGATAAAAATTTTGACAAATTGTTATTTAGTCTATTTTCAAGGTCTTTATTTAAGACATTAAATAAATAAAATTCTCACCATAAACGAGATAAGAAGTAATTAATTCAAGCATGCTGTAATTTTGACATTAATGCACTGTGTTTTGAAGAGTGCAAAGAATACCATTTCTCTAAGATGGTCCTTAATGAAAAAGAGTAAATTATGAAGTAAATATTAACAAAACTTTAGATACAATGTAGATCTTGTGCAAAATAGTACATGAATTACCTGAAGATGACTACGATCGTAGATTAGAATTTAGTGAGGTAATGATGGAAAAACTGACGGAAATTGCGTTAACAAGATATATTTTACTGATTGAGCTATTGGAATGATGTCAATCTCCACTGGATGCTTGAAAACCGTATTCAATCACCACAAAAGTTAAATGTATGGTCGCATATTATAGATGGTACTCAATTAATTAGGTCTCTTTTTGCAGCTCATTTTGGCATAAATGTTCAGCGTTATCTTGATAAAGTATTTCCTGGATAATATTTTGCAGTATTAAATGGTCTCCTCCTTCACCGAATTTCAATCCCAAAGACTATTTTTATTAGAAATACTTAAAAAGTTGAGTTTATAAAACTAAAGCTGGAAGTCTTGATGAGTTAAGGCAACGAATTATCGATAAATCATCTTTAATTACTGGAGAATCTTGGAGGAATGTAATAGAAGCATCCTACCATAGATTAGACTTAATTAATTTTCTTAATGTATTTACGATCTTATTGACTACATCAATTCTTAAGTGTTGTATAAGATTGAACTCATATTGATGGGCAGATCAAATAATGAAACAAGATGTTTCACTCTGTGCAATTACGTTAAAAGTTACTTCAACCGATTAGCAAATTTGTTTCACTTTATCTTCTTTAATTATGGCCTGGATTGAAAACAAATTTAAGGATATGCATTTCTGTCTTCTTTGAGTTTAAAGTATTTTTGCAACGTGTTTCCTCCTCTCAATCAGTTTTAATAATAAGATAAGCTTTGATAATCGAATATTGTAAAGATTAAGGTGTCATAATCCAGGTAGTTTTAGCATTTGCAATCTTAAATCTTGACGTTTTCACTATCTTATAAAACCCTTCTTTTCAAAAATTTCAAAGTAGAGGTAGGAAGTCACTTTGGAACGATACATGACATATTATGAATTAACTAAGTTATTCGAGACTCTATTTATTATTTCTGTTTTTTTTCTATCTTCGGTCTCTATTCGACCAAAAGTGGGTGGAATCTTCTTTATTTCAATGGCATCTAACAGGAAAAATTGATTAAACAAACGTATGATGTTTGTTTAAAGCAAGATATAAGACGCAGAGTAATTATCCTTTGTGCTAGAAATAGCGAATTTTACTATTTGGCCACCGCTGGTTTAAAAATATCTTGAATATAACAATAAGAAGTGCTAGATTCACTAACAAAAAAATACAAATCATCCATATTCTTTAATATTTCATTAATAATCGAAACATAATAGCTTGGTCTGTTGATAATGAATAATATCAGTACATAATACTGTGCTTTGCACCACTGCATACCAAATTATTAATGCCAACGTGGTATTTGATAGACGTATCGGAGAGTACCGTTACATCGAATGGAATCGATGTCACGGCACGCATAGAGAGGCATGTGTTTGCTTGTAGTTTGTGACACATCTGTCCCCCTTTTTGGCCTTATTACCTAATACGTGGTCGTGCCATTTGCATACAAAAGCACAATCGGATCTATGTGGTTGGTAGTAGGTAGTCTTATAAATTCCGAGACGGTATTCTATTCTAATTCCGGACATGTTTCATCGAGCTTGTATTGTTAAGTGTATTTCCTGTTGTTAATATGTTAAGTTGAATGAGTTATTATTAAAATATTTATAGTCATAATGAAGCAATATGAAAAGGTAAACGATGAAAACCAATTTAAATATCTAATTTTATCTAAAAGCAATATCAGCTACTGTATTGCAAACACGTTACTGTGTATCTACACTAATTATGTAAGCGTACACTTTCAAATTTGTATACCACCTGTCGAGTTCATACCCATAAGTAACAACCTTGGCACAGTGCACGGCAATTATAAATTTTGCAAGAACTTTAACACTTAATCGCTAAATAAACAATATATCTATGTTTTTATCCTGATCACGTTTCAATCAAATTTGATTACTTTATGACTGCAATATCCTTTAAAAAGTAACAAGAAAAATTTCTCAATTTTTCGACGTCTAAACAACTAAAGATATAAAAGATACATCTTCCATAACAACAGTTAGACAATTTACTTAAGACATTAAGAAATATAATTACGATCGACGAAATACCCGTTATCTTGTCGTTTTTAACACTTACTAGTTTTGACGATCGACGAAACGATGTTTGCTTAAGAGGACTATTACAGATGTGTTAATTTTATAAATACCGTTTTATACACAATTATGAGATATAGAAATGTTAATTTTACAATTACTTAAGAAAATAACTTTCATCGAGAGCAATCAGTTTTTTAAGTCTTAGTGAAAGTAATTCATTATAGAATAAAGAATGAAATTATTATAATAATCTTTCCGCTAAAAGGGAAAGTTATCATTTTCAATTTCATTTTAATTGCGTATGACCAATTTTAACTATCGCATTTTCATGATTACTTGGTCACTTAGCGTTTTCTCTCGCGTTGTTTTTTATCTCGCGTGCAAAACGAAAAGACTCTAGACAATTGGAGCATTACCCATAATCCAAACAAGAAAAAAAGAAGTACAAAAAAAACCTTTTAAGGTTACAAAAGAATTATTAAAAAAGGCAAGAAAAGTAACAAGCCACAACGATTTTGCGATTTTGAAATTTCTTAAATTTTTTTCTTTTCTTTTCATAACACAATACGTAAGTTAAACGAAATAAATCGAAATTGAAAGTTTACGATCGAGTTTTTTTGCAGGTTTATGATGCAGACGGTGAATAATCCAATTAAATTATGGTAGCAAGTTATAATCTTGAAAGTGTCCGTTTTGCTAAGTTTAAGAGAAACGTTAATAGGTGGTATTTTATTATCTGAAAGGTACTAGAAAGCAAACAGCAGGGAAGTGGTGTGAGCTTTAAGATTAAACTCAATGACCCGTTTAGTGCCTTTCGAAAATATATAAAAACTACCACATGTTTTCTATTCTATGTTTCCTTAAAAATTATTAAATTGTATTATTTTATATTTAAAGAAATCTCTATTCAAATGGGTGCAGCTGTATATTGTTTCATCACCTTTACAGAAAATTATCCAACATCATTTTATCGACATGAATACAACATTAACCTTTATAACATCTCTTTAATTAAAAAAAAATCGAGGAATGCTCGAATAATATCTCGAATACTTTGTGATATTTTAAAAAAAATTTAGTATCATTAAACGAAAGTTATCTTTTAAATCCACACCGGCGAAAACCTTACACTTTGAGAAGTGAATGTCTGCTATTTGCATCATTGGGTTCGAGTTGCTTTGCAAAATGTCAGATAATGGTGAACGTCACGACCATTGTCATGAAACCATAAGTGCCTCGAAGCAAATTTGAATATTTATTTTGATGAACTTTGACTTTTTATAATAACTTGATTAACTAATTTTTGAATCTAATTTGTTGAGGAATTAACATTTTTAAAAACTATTCTGTAAGCGACTGATGAATAATCTTGTCTAACAGTTAAAATCAGTGGAGCGTTTATTTAACAACTTTGTAGTTGACAGACGATAAACTAAAAGATAAAAAATTATGTTAAGCTTAACTGTTAGTTTACGAACGGGCTTGGAATTAATGCGATGAATTTGAATTGTTGATATGAATGAGCTTAGGAAGTTAGAAATACAGTAGAAAAAGAGAACACTTTTCATTTGCAAAGTAGATGAGAACATGGAAAGAGCGATTCTTACACCTTGTTAAAATCAAATAACAGCAGTCTTCTTCTTCTGCGTCGTATTCTCATAGCTGAAAAGTCGTAATTCCATGTTTATGGGTATTCTTTTACTTTATTCCTCCATAACTGGTGGTTTTGTGCTTTTGGAAGTGCGCCTTGAAGCGGAGTATCTGTTATCTCTTTTATCTGGTCCAACCACCTAGTTGGCGATCTTCCCCTTGGTCTCTATTTTTCCTTGGATTACAAATTTTTCTAGGTTATCTCCATTTCATAAATAGAATAAAATATTGTGGAATTCGACGCCGGCAAATAATGGACAGTCTGTCTTTTATCTCGAACTCTTTCAATATAAATACGTTAGTTCGTCTAACTGTCCATGGAATACGCAGCATTCTAGTTCATCTATAATATTTTCCTGTGTTAGAGAATCCCTCTGTCTATTATCATTAATTTTGCCTTGTTTAGGTTCATTTCTAATTCCCAGTTTCGGATTTCTTCTCTCACCAAATCCAGCATTCTATGGAGTTTCTATCTGTCTTTCGCCAGCAAAGCCGTCATTGTTCTTATGTGTATGGGGATGAGAATTGATATTGTCCAATCTTTTGACCATTTTCCTGTTCTCCATATTTTGTTGCATGGATCTAAAAGCATTTTTACAGCCGGATCGTTCAACACTTTAAAAATTTCTGACTTCATTTGATCTGATCCAGAAGCTACATTTGTTTTTATGTGACGTATCCATTTATTATTCGCCTTTTGTCTGTATTTCTTGGCAGAATACAACTTTTTATAGCATCGGTGAAACATCATCTCGTCTGTCTTTAGTATCTATAGTATCTGTCCATCTATATCTTCTATTGTTAACGTTCTAGCTTTCAATTTTCTTGATAGCAAGTTAACTTTTTAGAAAAGATCGCCTACATATTGATTGTTACAGTGTTCATGTCTACAATCAGCCGAATATTCTCAACAGCTGCGTAATCACTGTTGAGTTATTAACAAATTTATTCAGGTTCATATTAAAATAGTCCATACAATATTACATGATCCTTAAAATTATTGTTATGTCACCTGCATGAATCCTTATCTACAATCTCTCAATGAACTATTATTTCAGCGAACATGACATTGCAACATAAACCATTATGGTATACAAACAGTAAGTAACCGTATAAAAAAAAGAAATAGAAGTAAAATCAAAGAAATAAAGCGGTAAAATAACAATAAACTATATAAACAATAAGTAAATAAATCAAGTCTACATAACAAACTGGAATTGATGATTAATGATTCCAATTATTCTTGGTCAACAGCACTGCTTTCAGTAACCAAATTTGCCACAAGTCTTTGTTCATTTCTGTGCAATAAATTAGTGAGTTTAATACTTCCCCAAGCTGAAAATCGTGGAATGTCGGCATTAAATTCTATTGATATTGTGAAATGATTGTGGAATTCTTCGCGGAAGTGGTAGAGTGTAATGTGAGGTCATCACCAAACTTCATGCACAAAAAAGCGCCCAGAAACTATTAATATTATTATGACTTATTTATTCTTCCTGTCATCAATAAACTCATTCGAAAAAAATAATTGTCTTGGAAAAAATAAATTACTGCAGGTAATATTGTTCATTGTGTTATGTGATTGGTGCTTTTCTGATTGGAAATTGTTAAAATTAGATGTTTAGAAATTATTATTAGAAATTACTGTTCACAAAATGAACGCATTTTCAATTAATTCCGATAATGAGATAATGCGTAAGAAAAACTTTCACGTTATGAAAGAACTACCGTTTTCCATTTAATGGGTCAGGAAGCCAAAGAAGTCGACCAATAAATCACCGAAGAATACCCGACAGATATTCAAAACCTTGGGAAACTCAAGTTTCTCTTCACTCTTAATGCAAAACTTAATTAAACGCTCCATTAATTGACACGGATTTTATTCAAAACTAAGTCATCCATTTCAAGAATTATTATCAGCCTATTTTTCATCAAAATCATAATTAATTTCATTTTAATTTTTTCTTTTGCAAATGAAGTTTTATCAAAGTTTATTTCTGGAGTGTTATCTTTATAAAAATCTTTACTTGGTTTATGTAATGCTTTTGTGTTCTTAAAGGCCCGAGTCCGATTGTTAATGTTTTTTCTCCTCGATTGTTTTGGAGAGCTTGCACTGGGAATTTCTCAATATGAAAGCCATACAAAAGTTCCTCTGGGCTATACCTAATCCAGTTTATATTGAATACTAACATAAACATACCTAGTATTTTACATGATACCAAATTAGAAAGCTGTATAGTTACGGTTTTAATTCTACATCTTAGTTTTATACTTTTTTTATGAAGCAAAATATAATTACAATATGATTAATGATAATTCGGAAATTATTATTGCAATTAGAATTAAGCGTCAGGTTTTAATAATTCGAATAGAAATTTGAAGTTTAATAAGTGTAACGACTTTCTAGTGACAAGATAGATTAAATGAATTTATAATTAGAATCCAACAATTTTTATACCCATAAAATAGAAAATGGGTTTTATTAATGCCTTTAACTTTCAAATAAACACTATTTTCGGAGACAAAAACTTATTGCCTATTTTCAAATTGAATAATTTAACTAAAATTACCGTCGAATTACTTACCTTAGAGTCTAATGATGATTTTCTTCCGTTTTTATGATCCATCGTCACTGTCATCGTGCCAAGTTCACAATTTCACATGTCAAAAATTAATTTAAAAAGGTACACTTTCTTCTTAATACAACTTAATTTAAAAAATTATGTTACTTAAGTTTTATCGTAAAAATGTTTAGAAGCTTCAAGTCCGTTCTTGAAGACTCAACACGATCAACTGCCGTCAGCACACAGACCCACAAGCTTAACACAATGACCGTCCTTCTCCAAGAAGTCGCCGCTCTTTACTTTCTAGATCACCGCGCGTTGTCTGTTATCAGAAATACGAGTGCACCCAACTTGGACGAATACAAATAAAATTTTCTTGGTGAACTCACTGATCACATCTTACTATTTGATTATAAGTCTTGATCGTTTCCCTATGAGAATGGAAATTTTCTTTAAAAGGTAAACCTCCGGGTCGACTTTCACCCACGAAGAAGGTAATCGATGGTTGATGCTGTGCTGTTAATCTGTAAGAAATGTTAAAGTATGCATGTAGAACGTTAGTTAGTGATTAAATTCAACACAACGACCGGCTTTCTAGAGTAGTTTTCAGAAGCATCTTTTATACTTAATGAGGGAACGAGTTTAATGAACAATCACTAATTGTTATTAAGGAAAATACTGGGTTAATGAGTTAAATTCTGATTACAAAAACTAAAAATTAATTAATTGAGTTTAATTTATCATTTTATAAGCAGGTTGTTAATAACCTCGAAACTGTCAATATTTTTCAAGGATTTGATCTTGTCTGCAAGTTTTTACATTCCAATTCGAAGGTGAATAACAGTTACGCACATAAAGAAATTTATAGAACCATTTTGTAAACACGAAAGTATGCATATAATGACAGTGTTAAAAACGGTTTCTGACGAATTTCGGCTATTCACTTGTAAAACTAGCGTAGATAACGGGATTGTCGATGTGTGAAACGTCTGACATTTTAAACATTCCCGTTTTTTACATAGAAACTAGGTGGAGAGGTAATTATTCTGCGTACATTTAAATTGTAGTTGTAGTCTTATCGACTATTTAATCAAAAACTTTTGAGAAAGTCTGCGTGTTGTTAATTTACACAGAAAATAGCACAAAAAAACAAATTATTTTTATTGCTTTTCTAAACAACTTTTAATTATTGCTTTACTCATATTTCTTGCTTAAACAACAATACGTATAATATTATAGTAATGAGTTTTTACGTAACAAAACAGAAAGAAAATAATTTCTGTAAGTACCTATAAGTAGAAAATATAGAAATTATACTAAAACAAGCTACAAAATGTTACACGTGTAAGAAAGGATTTTGTTGTCGATGGTATACTTTTGTTGTGCAAACAGAAAATGTCACGGCGTCTACCCATAATGTTCACCGATTAAAAGTAATTGCCCTTTTGCAAAGAACGTGATTCATGATCGAACCAATTTTCTTATTTCCTATTACGTACACTATTCAACTCAACTTTTTGTATAATTTATTGTCAATTGTACTTTCTTTCCCCTTTTCCATAAGAAATGGTTAAATGTTAAAAAAATAGAAGAAAAATGTAATTATAAATTAAAACTTTTAAGAACGACTTGATGCTTGAAAATATTTCTTACAAGATTTAATCTTTTTATCCAAGAAATGAGAAAATGTTCTATTTTATGATAAACTTTAAATATTAACAGTGTCTTAACAAATGCCTGCCAAAAAAATCTTGATAGAAAATCTTGCAAACCTAAGTTATGTTATGTTGGAACATGAATATTAGAAATCAAAAAAATTTATGAACTCAGACCTCATTTCTGGGAGTAAAGCGACGATTTATAGCTGAAATTGAAGTTGAACGATTCTATTTTATGATAACCTATAACAACGAACCATATAGGAACTAAGAAGGTGTGGTCTCAGCGTGTTCGCATGTTTTAAAGGAATTCCCTATCCTCAATAAACTTCAGATAATCTAGGTTTTTGGAAGTAGAAGCGTGTACAAAAATAAAACCGTTTTAATACTGATTACCAAAAATTTCTCTTATATGTTACTGTTAAACCCCGAAAAGTGGAAAATCTTGAGATATACCAATTTGGATTGATAAAAGTTCGAAATTTTATAGAGGAATTCCAGAATTTGCTCCATAAGTCAAAACTGATCTTATATATTTTATCTTATAGATATGTCACTTCACTAAAATATTTTTATATGTGCATGGTAGCACCTTTTTGCAGATTGTATTCGTCATGTTATGTTATTGTCACCATTAAAAATTACACCCAGATATTTGATATGGTCATATTTTCAGTTGTTCCTCTCTGCATTAAACACTTCTAATTTATGTAATTTTGCGGTCAACTAGAAAAATGTATTTTCTTTGTTTTCTTCCTTTTTTGTAAGACATCTGTTTTATTTCTTGGTTATTCATAGCTTATGCTGGAACGTTGAGCTTCAGCTTTGATACTATGGTATAAGTGGTCTTCCGGGGTATCTGTTTGCTCTTAGGAATCTACCTTTGACTATACTTGAAACAAACTTCCAAACATTTAACAGAATACCAAAATCAGAGTTTTAGTTTACTGAAATATGATAAAATAACAATTATCTGATGTTAAAACAACTCCAAACAAAAAAATACCGTTAATTCGTATACTGTAAAGGTTTTACAATTATTTTATGATGCTAGAATGGAGCTATTGTTTGATGCCGCATGTGCATGTCAACGCCTGTGAGTTATACAACCTGTCACTCTTATAAAATAAAAAACGTTGAATGAATCAAAAGTTAAATATCATTAAATGGAAGATTTGATTATTTGCAGAGGCAACTATTCGCCACTACATTCATGATATCAGCCAATTTATGAAATGCAATGGTCTATAATAATAATGGTAGGAATACCACATTATTGACAAGATTTTAATTAACTCTTTTCCAAGTAATTTAGACTTTCAATTGCAGTTAAAGACAACAATAACTAACTAGTTTTATTATTTAAAATTTACTGCAAGAATTAAAGATAAGTTATCGTTTTGCCCGATCACACTTTCTTCAGCATTTCAATTGCTGAAATCATCATACTGCTTCTTCATGGATAATTTTGAATTCCTGTGGTTTACAGTTTATGTTGAGCTGTAATTCGTTGTAGATGATTGCAACACGGAAAATCCTTCCCGTCATGAACAGCTAAGTATTATTCGTCTACAGATATCAATGCAGGTTTCTCGGGGATGATTTCTTTGAATTCCTTTGTATTCTTTTCATGGAATTAAGATAGAACTGGTATTTAATCATATCGATTAAAACAAAGAAAGCTGCCAAATGGAGAATTTCATGAAAGACTTCCCGTTTTGTTGCACATAAATTCAACCAGGATTTCTTGGTAGATTAGAAGAACGTTTTCCCAATCTAGTTATTTCATTGTCCTTTCTGGAAATTTTCCCAGAAGTATTATCAAACATAATTCCAACCTTGATGACACTATCGTTGCAATTATAATTCTAGATTTATCATTATTTGTATAATTCAGGGCAGTAAATAACAATCGAAGAGTAAAGTTGTTAGCTTGACAGTGTTGTTTTTGATTAAACTGGTGCTACTTTAGATTTGACAATCAATGCATTCGTGGTTCTCTATCTTCTTTGATTGATAGTTACTATGATGCTTAGAAAGTTGATGAGATGATACACGTCGTTTATTTTTCCATAAATTCTTATAATTCCTTTCACTATTTCTTTTTGAATACCACAATAATTTAGGTCGTCTTAAACAGCATGTTGTCTTCAGAATCAATAAATATGGTATCGTCCTAAATCTTCGATGCTATTTTAAATTTCCTTCTTTGTTAATTTCTTGTTTATAACATTTTTATGAAAATTAATCTCTTAAGCGGCGAGTTTCACCACACTTTGCAATCGTGGCGGAAATACTCATCTTATCTTATAAGTGGGTTACGAGAAAAAAAAGCTTAACATAATTATAAAAATTTTCTAATTTCTTTCCATTTTATTTCAAATCGCAGTAAATATCTAATTATATTACTTATAACATCTCTTAACTGTTCTAATAATAAATAATTGGTGGTTTATGACCCAGATAAATAATATGCGGCAGAACGAAAATTATGGCTAATAATACACGCTGTACTTTACACTGTGTTCATGCATTAAAGTTTTATGCGTTATTTCACCAATTAAAATCGGGTCAAACCACCTTTAATTATCGGTGTTACAATCGCTTGTTACGTCGAAGATAACCGTTAAAATATCTACTTTATGCCTATAGTTAAGTATTTTATGATGTGGTTACTACATTGCTTCATAGTGAAATATAGCATAGATATCTAATTACGAGTGAGATCTGTTACGAATATTCTAAAAGTGATTTTCTTAAAAATATTTAACTTTTTAAAATTGTGCAATATTCAAGCGCATTGCACATTATATTGCCTATTAATTTCAAATGGAAATACCAATAAACCACGTCTTCAAATACAATTACGAAATCTTGTAGTTTATGGTTAATACATTCCAACCTAATTACACTCATAAATAATTAATACTGAAAGTTAACTTTTTGTGTATTATTTTTGTGGGTGTAAGATCATACATTGGCCGTGCCATTTCCTGGTAAAAGAAATCGATTGAAAAAGGTCAATGATGTCGATTCTTGTGCACAGTCACGCGATCGTAACCGCAAGAAGATGTGAAGAAGGAAAAGAGAGATGTGAAGAAAAAAACGTTGTGTTAATCGATCTGAGGCTTACGGCAGACGATATACCGTTAGCTTCAAGAAATTATGATGCCCGTTGCCTCAAAACGTAAACATCGTTGTCCTGACCTAGAGAAAAAGGGGTTCGAGTTCTTGAACGATGTCCGCAATTACGTGCTCTAATGACCTCTTAGATTTGAACAAAAAATTACAATAAATATTTTTGTTATCGCTTTTATTTTTATAAATGCGTTTAATACTTTTATTCAACAAGGAATTTTTTTTAATATATGTGGTGAACTATACAAAGACCAGTTTTTTTTAATAGTATAATTATGAATGTAAAAGTTTTATTCATTTAACCTTCAGTTGTCGGACAATAGACATTTCAAAATTATGGTTTCCGAAGCCGAACAATCGAGAACAGAATGCAAGAAATCGCTACGAAGCAACCCGCACCGGTATTTATAGATTGGTTCTGGTATAATGAGAAAGTAGGAAATTGACACCGATAGCGTTCATTTGGCTTTATGGCATCAACTGGTTAAATTTCTTTGTTAATCAACCAAGCAAAAAAAAATTCTATTCGAAAAAAGCATCAATTTGATTATTTAGTTTATAATTATAATCTTTAATTGAATATATCTTAAATAAAGACCAAGATTTAGCAAAAGGAAAATTTAACCCGGAAGTTAATAGTCGGATCTTGGTTATATTTAAAGAAATAAACCGAAAATTATATCTGCATTTATAAATAAATACTGAATAAAGAACTTACGTAAGTTTGATCAAAATCTTTTAAATCCTAGATTAAATCCAAAGCACACCTTTCTTCGTATAATAACAACTTAACCGTCGTCGACAGATGTTAAATGCCGACTTGAAGACGACGACGTTCTTTTCTTCATTCGCTTTTGGTGAAGTGGTTGTACGAACACGGTAGACGTTTAAAACTTCTCTTTTTTGCCCCCCTACTACCTACTTCTACCACATTTGGTACCGAAACGAACTCGATTTAATAGTATACTGTACAACAATCTTGTAAATTAATTGTTTTGCAACAATTACGATCCTTTAATTGAATGCTTTTCCGCTTTGTTATTCAATCATTTTAAATTTAAAGTTGTTAGTAAATCACTTAACTTATTGCATTATTTATTTATTATTGTTTTTTTTTATTGAAAATTGTGGAAACGAAAGTTTAAACTTTACGGAAAGCTAGAGTGCGTTTTGACTTTTTGATCTCCCAATACTTCGCTTTTCTACTATGATTGCAAAATTAATTTGATTTGGTCAATTTCATCAATGAGTTTAGCTACCAAGGCTAAAATTTGAAATCTCTCCAGAAATCTTTCTTGGAGGTTCTCGGTCTACAGATCTTGGCAATCTGTATCTGTGAGGTTTTTCTCACTTATGGCTTTCTTTAATCGTTATACATACATGCTTCGTTATACATGGCAAATTGTAAATAACGAAAAAGAATCGAAAACGTGTTACAGTAGGTTTTGCACATTGAAACCACGAAACGTGTTTCTTTATATAATTTTGACAATAAACACTAGGTGAGAGAAATTGAAATTATTACATTTTAAAATTTTATGGTTAAAATTAAAAGAAAGAATACTAAAAATAACTGATTATTTAAATAAATATTAATTTTATTGTGTTTTTGGTTCACTTCTTGTGACCATAATTTGACAAAATTCTGTTAATTTTTCATAAATAGTAACTAATTTATCAATCGAATTTGATATATTTTCTACGTTTTTCCCAATTCCATTCATAACTTGTAAAATTTCTTGTTTACCTCTTTGGCGTTCAACAGGATCAAATCTATAACACTTATGCCTTTTGTCTTTACATTTAAACCGTTTTTCTGATAAATCTTTATCAGAACTTGAATTATCCGATTGGTCTTCATCACAATTCGTAGTTGTCGTTGAAGTACTTGCAGCTATTGGGGCTTCTACAGATGAGGTGTTTTCAACACTTTCAATAACAGGATCTTGTTCTGTAGGATTTTCTGTTTTACACACGAGATTTGAATAATTAAAATCGACATGTTCTTCTTCTTCAGAATTTACTTCCGTTGCTAATCTACCCTAATAAAAATTTAAACGAATAAATTTAATAAAAAATTGATTTAAAAAAAATCTTACATCTCCAGGTATAATAACTAATTTTCTTCGTTTTCTCAAAGCTTGTTTTCCCATTAAAGTTAATAATCTTTTTTCAGTTCTAGTTAAGGCTATTTCATGATAAGGTTTTGATAACTTCGCTTTAGTTTTCGCTTTCCAATCGGTGACTGCTTTTCGCCATTGAGCGACCGTTTTCTGACCATGACCTAACGAATTTAAAGCATTCGCAGCTTTGGTCCAAAGCAGATTTCTTTGTATGTTTCCGTGTATTCCGTGATATCGATTTGTTATTAATTCGGAATTTTGTTCGGCAAAATCGAGAAAGGTGTTCCAATGATCAGGTGTCACCCTCATAATATTAACTAAAAAATCATAAGAAAAAAGAAATGTTAATTAAAATTGATACGGGTTAAAAACGAAAAGAAGTGATAAATAAAAAATGATTGTAATGAAGTTGCAACGTCAATGTTTAAAGGTCAAAAATTAATTTAAAAAATTGTAGTGGTACTTTAATAGTGTTAAAATGTGTATGTAACATTTAATGTTATAAAGGAGATAGCTGTGTTTATACATCTATGTTAAATCGTCCTTGATTTTGTTATATTTTATAGATGAGTAAATCGTGAATTTTACAAAGTCATTCTTATTAATTGTGTAATCAGCTTGATAATCCTTGAGTTTTAAGTTTCTTTACAATGTTGTATTAAACATCACCTTAAATTTGAAATAAATCAAATAAAATCAATATAGCTACAAAAAATGTGATAGTTAAACATTGTTCGGGTGATTAAATAACAAATTAATGACTTCGACATTATAAAAGAATTAATGAATAAATAATTGATTATATTAAACTTATATAAAATCGCTGATAGAAAAAATCTGTTAATTTTTACTTACCTTATCAGAAAAGATATAGTTGATAAAGTAATTAATTTTTAGAAAAATTTCACAATAAAACTAGGAAATATTCAGTGATAAACTTTAAAACTATTTAACCTAAACAAACTTGTTTGTTTCGTTTTGAACTCTCGTTATAAACTGATGTTACGAAGCGGTCTTCAATTTGTATAAATGTGAGGAGATAAGATAGATACTTTGACGTCATTGCGTAATGTTGTTTCATTATCATCGAATGTACGTCCTTGTGGTTAACGTAAAAAGTATTGACAATCAGAATAATATAAGATATGAACTACTTATTAACACAAAATGCATAACTTAAGAGAATAGAAAATAAATTGGATAAAATCTATTCTTGATAAACAATAATCATTTATCAGCAATCAAAAATTTCAGAAATGACAGAGATATAAAAAAATTGTAGATGACTTGTATTTTTTTTTTCATTCAATGGCAATGGATTGTGTAAGACTAGGCTAAATATCCATATGATATGTGTGCATTTTTCAAAAAACCGTAATTATCTCCCAAACTATTAATGTTAGATATGGGACATATGGGATATAAAAGATGTAGAATGAGACACCGAAGACAACTAAGTAATAAAATGTGGGAGATGCCATTTAAAAAAATTAAGTTATGGTACTTCCAAATTTCTAAATAAAGTGACCAAACGTTCTAGACAGCTGTTCTCGGCACCAAAACATACTCCATCATGTTGCTTAAGCATGTTCTGAATCCTAAATTGATATCCCAAAAATCGAGTGTTTTCTGATTCTTTGAACAAATGTCTGCTGGAGCAGATTTTTCTAGAAAAATTCGAATAACTCGAGAACGGCCGAATCAAATTAACAAAAAGTAAAGTTATTTAAAAACCTTGAGAACAGACAAATCCAAATATGTAAAAATATACAGGGTGTTGAATTTAAAAAAATAAAGTAGATGACGACTTCCGATATAACCGGAAGTGCTAGAAATCTGAAAATATTTTAGTCGAAGAGAACGCAATTGATAATACTTATGTCTGAATTCTCAAATTTTTATTTTGGCCAGAAACGTTTAATTCGCTGGGACACCTGTATAATATAGTAGAGAAGAAAGTGGAGATCCTTAATTTTTTCACCTGGAAGTACTTAGTCTTTAGAAAAGAATTCGGCACTGACTAAATTCCCTTGCAGGTTAACCTCGATCATTTCACCATCATTTCAGACAAAGTCGTTAACCTTTTTGACACCTAATAGCATTGCAATCTTCTGATATATTTTCCTCTGGACAAGTTGCAACGTGCTAAAAAGATTTGCTATCTGCTCCACAGCTCCTTTATGTTCGCTGAATCCAAATTGATTTTTCAGGAGTAATTCTTTCCTTGCGACCTCTTCTTGCAATCGCCACAGCTATTATACAGAATTCTTTAAGTAATCTTCCACAATTAAAGATAGTTACAAAGAATCTGAGTACTCTCTTTAAATGAAAGTAAAGAAAGAATACACCTAAAGTTGTTTTCAGTGTTTTTATTATAGAGCCAAGGTGAAGTAATATAGGTAAATTATAAGCTAAGTGAACAAGATAACAGTTCACTTTTCGTTGTTGATGCTCTCAGATCTTCTAATATTCGAAAACCCGCCAAAAAAACTTACCTAAAAAATTATAGATATAAACTGCCATGTCATTATTTATGAGGTTATTAAAGATGAATTGACAATTAAACTTAAGGTGTTGTATGAAAGGCCATTCAAGGTAATTAAAGACCATGTAAATGTGATATTACAAATAAATAGTAAGTTGCTAACACTGCACAAAATTTTGATGATGTAATCCTTCTATTATTTAACCTAAATATTACTTAGGAGTTAATCATGTTTATAAGGTACAAATAATCAACAAAAATATTAATAAAAATCAATAAATATGAAAATGAAACGCAACTTTTAAATAAAAATATTTATTATTATTTAACTACTCATATTTTCCATTTCATCATCTTCATCATCATCATTTGATAACTTTTTGAATCCTTCTGTTTTATCCCAAACAGCCTCTAATTTTAATTGAAATTTTGCAAGTTTATGCTCCAACAATTCCAATATTTTAGCTTGTTCTGGTGTAATTACATTGCCTTTTTTACAAACAATATGATCATTAGTTAGTGTAACAATTCCTCTTTCTAATTTTGTAGGCATTCCTAATTGCCGTAAATATGGTTCAATTGCATGTGAAAATTGACTCAATGGTCCTTCATTTAATTCTATTGTTTGGTCAACTTTAAATCCAGATCTAGCATAATCCTCGTATGTAAAACTTTCAAACCATTCAACAACTTCTTTTCTTGTACAATTTGTAAATAATAATCCACACTGCCCTTTTAAAGTTTTTGTTAACTAAAAAAATAAAAAGAATCAATGAGATGTCTTATAAATGTTAAAAAATTTAATTTACTTTATGCAAATCTTCAGCTACTTCCTCCTCTTGTGTTCTTCCTAATCCTATACCAATAACTTTATTCTTACCGAAGAAAAATCTACTCGGTTTCCATTCTTGTCGAATATCTTGCATTTTTTCATTTCGCATATTTTTAAAAGTAAACACATAAATGCTATTGAATTTTTCAACGCATGATTTTATATCATCGACTATTTTTTGCTTTAATGCTAATCCTTTCTTATCGGTTTTTGTTAAAGAAACTAAAAAAAAATAATAAATAAGGAAGAATTACATAAATTATTAAAAACAATTATTCACTTTTCTTATCCCGTTTAGATTTAGGCATTTTTTTGATGTTTTAATAACTTCTTCTAGAAATTAAGGAATCTCTTTTCACCACGTGTTTCAAATAAACAATAACTTAACCTCACTTTTAACACATTTATACTTTGACGTGTGATTTTGACAGCATCTTTTTCTTTAATTTTAGGTTGGCAACGTTATTTATTATTAATTTTAAAAAATCTAATTTTTCTTATAATTTAAAAGTATTTATTGGATATTTAATATATTATAATATAATATTGGATAAATTATCTCTTAACTTGATTTAATTCTTAGTGTCTTTTTTTATTTTTAGGTTGGTGACATTTAATTTTCTTGCTTGAATCGTTCAAATAAAACAATAATTTCTTAGAAAATAGAAATAAACCGTTTAATATCATTGTAACAAATATTTTAACTAAAATAGTAAAGATCAAAAATCATCACTAGAAAATGAATCAATAAGAATCGATTTTTCTGGACTATTTTCCTTTCCTATCTTTACACATTCATCTAAATGACCGCTCATATCTAATTCTGAGTACAAATCCAAGCAAAAAGGGCAACTATACATAAAATCGTCATCTTTACTAGAAGATGGATTAAAATTTTCTTTTTCCACTTCTTTCGGTGTTCCATCTGGGAATTTTTCGTCAAACACACCACTCATACATTCGTCTAAATGCGCGTTTAAATCGCTTTTAAAAATTTCTTTTCTACAAACGAGACAATTCACTTTCGTATTTGTCGTAGGAATATCATATTCATCTTCAATATCATCCAACATTTTATGCAAACATTTTTCTACATGCAAATTATACTTTAATGATTCAACCAATTCCAAACAGACGTTACATTTCATTAAATCATTATTTTTATCAACTTTATTATTCTTATTGGTATGTTGGATATCTACTTTAGAATTCTTTTCAATACAGTCAATTGTATGCGTTTCAATCATGGTTTTATCAAAAAATGATTCGCAAATTACGCATTCAATTAGTTCGTCTAAACCGTTGTCGTAGCTTGTATTAAAGCAATCAACAATGTGTTCTTTATAGATAGATTTAGGCACTTTTTTGTTACATACACAACAAGTTTCTTGCTTTTCTACCGGCTCATCGTCTTTAAATTGTTTTATTAGGCACTCATCAACGTGTTTTTCGATTATTGATGATGATATTTTTTTATTACAAATTGGACAAGTTACTAAATTTGATGGTATATCATCGTTAATTAATACAATTTGAGTTTTTTGATGTCTTTTATTTTGAATTGAAGTTATTTCATCTTCTGAAGCCGGTCTTTTATTACTTAATAAATTATTGTTATCATATTTTTTTGCCCAAGTATCTCGAACTTTGTTATAACAATCTTGTGAAGTTTTTGTAGGAGTTGATGAAAGAGTTTTTGACGTTCCAGAGAATACTTGAACATTATTTTTTAGAATATTTTCCTTTGATTTTGATAAATTTGAGGGTTGTTTACCAGTGACAACAACTGTATTAGAATTATTTGATTTTACAGCAACAATTCCTTTAAAACTGGTATCATTTAAATTTTTTGAAACTTTTGATGAATTATTTGTTCCCAAATTTTTAAAACCATGTATATTTCCTTTATTAAATACAGCTCCAGTTTCAACATTAAATCCATTTTTATTTTTAATTGTATTGATTGGTTTACTTATTTCCTTAGATTTTGTTGGTATAAAAAAGCTTCTAATATCACGATTTGGACTAACTATTGGTTTATTTGGTTTAATTGATTTTTTTGGTGATTTCATTGGACTATTTATACTAGTAGTTGTTATATATTTTGTTATATCATAATTAGGAATAGATGAAGTTTTATTAATTGATTTTTGTTGTTGTGGTTTCTTTTTTTCAGGTTCATGAATCTAAAAAACATAAATTAATGTTACAAAAATATACAATATTACACATTTACTTTAGTAAAAATTCCACCACATCTACTTTGATGTTCACTCCACCAAAAATCATTTGGTCCTGGCGCTCTATTAATAGCTCTCTTAACAACTCCAAAATAAGGTTTTTGTTGTTGACATGGTCCATTACACTTCCACCAATGTTGTTTATACAATTCTACTTCATCATGGAAATCATGATAAACAGTAATATTTGTACCAGCTTCACCATTAATCCGATGCATATGTTTATGAAATTCAGGACCATGTCCATCTCTATCTCTATTATTATTAGTAACAAATAAATAAGCGTGAATCATCTCATGTAATAAAGTTTCAACTAAATCTTTTCGTGGTCTTAATTTCAGTAGGGGTTCACTTAAAGTGATGTGACATAGCCCTCTCCGGCCTTGGTATGAACAAACTCCAGCACACAAAGTCATTCTTTTGCTCCATGAAACACAAACCATTTGAAGGGAGTTCCAAAAGAAACGCTCATTAAATACAACAAATAGATTGTGTATGTTTGGAGTAGGATCAACTAATTCCCATGATGGATCAACCAGCGATTTCCCACCATGTTTTATAGCTCCTTTATTAGTTTTATACGCTAAACCCATTCCTGTTTCTGATTTATATTCGTGATTAAATTCTTCTTGTAAATGAGTCGCTAAGAGTGTATCATCATGATTATCTACGTGAGATTCGTCATCAAATTGTTTTTGTAGTAAAATAGCAAGTTTTAAATCAGGATCTGCCATAACCTAAAAAATGTTTAAAAATTTTTATTCTAAATATTGAGTACAAAAAGGATTTTAAACTAAAACAAGCACCTATTTAGGATTATTTTAACACAGTATAACTAAAAATTAATATAAACTGATTAAAATATTTAACATAACCTCTAGCAACTTCTCTTAAAGTTAAAAACTGTCATAAAATCATGTCTACCAATCAATCTTTTTAGAGTGCTATTTTTTCATAGAAAATAATGTAATTAAAATTTATTATTAAATCTTCGTTTTATGTCATTTTTCCCAAATTTATTCTAATTTTTTTAATATATATCATCAAATAAATTTAGAAAAAAGCAAAAATATGTAATAGATTTCTATTTTAACGACAATCTTAAAATCCTCTCATTTTGACAGATGATAACTGTCAAAAAAGCATTAAGTTACGTTACTAAAATATTCGCTATGTAAGTCAAGTTAATCCTTAATAAAACTTTTTATCGTAATGAATCACTATTGGAACATTCTACAAAAGTAAATAATTCAAAAATCGCCTAAATAATAAACGTATACAGAATGGCAAACACCGGGGTGTTGCCCTTCGTTCGAGGGGTGGACTTTACAAAAAATGATTTCAGTGTAAGTACTCATACTTTGCTTGAATCTTTTTGTTTTAATTCAATTTAATTAAAGGAGGAAAAGTTTCCTGAAGCAGTAAGTTTGATGACGGGTGTACAATGGTTGAAATTGGATCGAACAAATTTAAGTGAGATTCCGAAAGAAATGGGAAATCTGCTTAAATTGGAACACTTGTCGTTAATGCGGAATAATTTGGAGAAATTGTATGGGGAGTTGACTGAATTGAATTGTTTGCGTACTTTGAATTTGAGGCATAATAAAGTTAAAAGTTCTGGTATTCCTTCCGAATTGTTTCATTTGGAGGAATTGAGCACGTTAGATTTGAGCCATAACAATTTAAAAGAGGTGCCTGAAGGTTTAGAAAGAGCCAAGTCTTTAATCGTATTAAATTTAAGTTATAATCAGTAAGAGAAACATTTAAATAAGCATCATATAATCTTAATTTTATTATTTTTAGTATTGACTCTATTCCAAATGCATTATTTATAAATTTAATAGACTTATTATTTCTTGACTTGAGCAATAATACATTAGAAACATTACCACCACAAACAAGGAGGCTTGTAAATTTACAGACTTTAATTTTAAATAATAACCCATTGGGTCATTGCCAATTAAGACAATTACCATCTTTAACAAACCTAAATGTTTTACAATTAAGAAACACACAAAGATGTCTAAATAATTTTCCAGCAAACTTGGAAAACTTAGTTAATCTAACTGAAATTGACCTTGCTGAAAATGATTTACCTAAACTACCAGAAGCGCTCTATTCATTACCGAATTTAAAAAGACTTAATGCAAGTGAAAATAAAATCACTGAAATATCTTCGAGTAAGTAACAAAAATAGATATGAAAATGATGAGGAAATAAGTTTTTTTAATATTATTTTAGTGATGGATTGCTGGCAAAAATTAGAAACTTTAAATTTGTCTCATAATAATCTAACCAGCTTGCCTGCATCTTTATGCAAAATATCGACACTAAGAAGATTGTATGTTAATGATAATAAAATGGATTTTGAAGGTATTCCATCTGGAATTGGTAAATTGGGTCGTTTGGAAATTTTTTCAGCTGCTAATAATCAATTAGAGATGATTCCAGAAGGTTTATGTCGGTAAGTACTGCAAAAAAGTTTCATGTGAAATTTTGATTAGCAACAATGTTGAAATAAGTATTAAAACAATAAAATTTTACAATAATGATGTCACAATCTATATTTATTTTTGAATATTTGTCATACAATTTATTTTTGTATTTATTATAATTACCTAAATATTGTAATAGACTTTTAATTGATTGTTTTTTTTTTCTTTTTAAGTTGTGGATCATTAAAAAAGTTAAACTTAAGCAGTAATAAACTGATAACTCTCCCAGATGCCATTCATTTACTAACTGATTTGGATTCATTGGATTTACGTGATAATCCTGAGTTAGTAATGCCCCCAAAACCGCACGAAATGAGCAAAGGTGCTGGTTTGGAATTTTATAATATCGATTTTTCGCTACAAAATCAACTTCGACAGGCCGGAGCTAACGTTCCAGCTCCACAACCATCTCAAAGTAAGCCAACAATTACTATAATTTTAAAACAAATTTTGTAATAAATTTATTTAGTATGAATCATGTTTTTAAAATTTTATTTTTAAATCACACTTAATGTTTTTAATATAATTGATTAGGTTATCATGGAAGGTTCATTTCAATTTATTATTTATATTTTTAGATACTAGTAAAGACCCTATTGCAAGAAAAATGAGGCTTAGGAGAGGTCGAAGAGATCATGAAGAGGCAGATCAAGATCAAGCAAAAATTTTAAAGGTATTTTTAAAATCAACTTTATTAAACTTAATTTTTATAACAAATTGGTTTATATAGGGAATGAAAGACATTGCTAAAGAAAAAAATCGAACGAAAGCTGAAGAGGAACTAAAAGCAGAATCACTTAAGTAACAATTTCTTTTTAATAATATTGTTTGATTAATTTATATATTTATATAATTTTTTTGTAAATGTTTAGACCAAAAAGATGGGATGAAACATTGGAAAAACCGCCATTAGATTACTCGGAATTTTTTGATGAAGAAGCTGGTCAAACGGAAGGCTTAACCATTTGGGAAATTGAAAATTTCCTGCCAAATAGAATCGAAGAGGTAGCCCATGGTAAATTTTATGAGGGCGACTGTTATATTGTGCTAAAAACTTTTTGTGATGAAACTGGATCACATAATTGGGAAATTTATTTTTGGATTGGTGAAAAAGCATCTGTGAGTATAATTGTTTTAAGAAAATTCTAATATTTTTTTAATAAACGACAGAGTAACTGCAATTAAATATTTATATTGAAACTGTGAGAAACTAGTTTAGGTCAGCGATTAGTAGGCAGAAAATCAGTGACGAAATATTTATTTAAAAAAAAATTTATACTAAAATTCTAAATTTATACTAGAAAGAATACTAGAAGGTCGTCCAAGCACATAATTGCTGATGAGGATTAGTTGATGCTCAGTTGTACCTACATTATTTTTATTTTAATGCACTAAATTAGCTATTGTTGCATCCTGCTGAAAAGAAATTGTTTTTGTCACATGTATATGACTGACATGGTCATGCATAAAACGTTGGGTAGGTTGAATAAAACAGTAGTAAATGCTAATTCTACAATACTGAAGTAAATTCTATGATTGTGAAGCAGGTTCTACTAATTGCAGTAGATACTTCGATATTTCCCAGAAGTTACTTAATCGGTAGTTTGTTGCGTGGAAAGTCGAAGTTTTTACTACGAAGGGAAGTACATGCTACAAAGCAGCATGCTGCTTTGTACTCTTTAAAAGTATTTACTTCCTACTAGTAGTATTTATTTACTTTAAATCGCATAGTTCGTACTACATATGTGAGTAAATTCTACCGGAACTAAAAGCGTACTACATCCGAAAGTATTTGCTATGTAGTAAATTCTTTTTCCTCAAGCATTACCATGTACTACTTTTTATTCAACCCACCCGTTATTTTTGGCCATGACAGTTATTATACTCTGTTTTTAAACCAGGAGGAGTAAACGCGAAAGTCAGATTTACACTAGGAAAAATCACCAGAAAATATCACTAGATATTTTGGCGGTAAATTTAAATTAATAATTATTATTTATTTATTTACTTATTATTGTATTTATTTTCGTTTGTTATCGTCAACACTATACATACAAATTAACATTGAAGTTATGAGTGTATTTATTTCAAAATATAATAAAAAAGGGTTTAAGAACACAAAATATACAATAATGACACGAAACTGTCGAATTATTAATTACCTAACCTTCAAATTCAAAATCAAAATTCAAAATTGCCTGTGTGTGAACCTTCCTCGCATTCAACCAATCACGTGCAAGGTCAATCTGGTGACAAATTTAAAATACTCCTGGTTTAAAAACAGAGTATAGTGTGAAATACATCTAAACAGGTTTCGACGCGTGTTAACTAATACTGAGATTAAAAGTAAGAGATTACAATGACTATATCTTTTCTAAAGCAATAAAATAGAATGAAATAAAATAATATGAAAACAACATAGTATTATACCATTACAATTGCAACTACAATCACAGTCATGGTTCCAATTACAAACAGACATTAAGTTCAATTATGTAAGATATTGATTCTGGAGTCGCCAACAGGAAATCTTCATAGGTTTGATTTTCACAGCATTCGCAGATATCTTATCATACGCGTCAATATCTTGCTCAATTTATGCAGAAAGTAGACGCATCTACCATGCTAGGTTCCTGTTCTGTTTAGAGTTGACTACGTTTTGCGTGATAAATCAAAACCAGGAGGCTTTTGGGTTGGGTTGGGTTCGGTTTTCAAGTGTTAGTTAGGCTGAATTCTTCATCTGTGGCAGTGACTATTGTTTTGATAGGTGACATTCTGGATCAGAGGTATAGATAGCCCCCTCAATCTTTTTGTTAATTGGTGGACATAAGGACTGTTAAGAAATGGGAGTAGCATTTTCAAACTAGTAATATAGTTTCCGATATTTCTGGTGGTTTTTATGACTTAATTGCAGTGATATAACGAAATAATATTCATACATAATACATAATATTTAAAAAATTAAATACCATTACTTTGTGTGAAGATACAACAATTTATTTAAAATTGGTATTTTTCGAATGTAAACATTAATTAGTACTCTAAATACTATTTAAGTGTTTTTAATTTAAAATATAATAAAAAAAAAGACGCCCCGGAACCAAGTCAATAAGAAAGCCTATCATAAATCATGTTCAGGTACTTTTTCGGGGTGATAATTACTGCCACTACTCTTTCTGAGTGTCACAAAAACCACCAGAAATGTCGGAAGCTATACCCAACCCAACCCCATTAAAGAGTAGCAAAAATTAAACCGCCGGTAGATTTGGTTTCTGCATTTCTTTCCTAGGAGACACATATTATCGGCAACGTAAAATTGTAGACAGGAGAAATATTAGCGAATGAAGGCAAAAACAGTATTGTAGCGCTTAAAAGGTTGGACACTCAAAGTGTTGGAGGAAGTGGATAGAAACAATCTTTTGCCAGTACAAGTAGGCATAAAAATAATAAAATTTTGCTGATAATAAAATTAAAGCAAAGATTGATGTTTCAGATCATAAGGGTTCTCATGCAACAACTTATAAGAACAATAACTAACTAAAAAAATTTTTTTTTTGTTTTATTTACATTATTTTTTTTGTTATAGTTGGATAAACGTGCTTGTTCAGCAATACACGCAGTAAATTTGCGCAATTATCTTGGTGCTCAATGTAGAACAATAAGAGAAGAACAACGTGACGAATCAGAAGAATTTTTAGCATTATTTGAAGGAAAAATAACTTACATTGAGGGTGGAAGAACAAGTAGTGGATTTTATACAGTTGAAGATATGGTTAATAAGCTTACATTTATTAAAATTTTCTTTAAATTCAATATAAATGTTTTTTTAGTTGTACGAAACCCGTTTTTATAGAGTTCACGCCGCCGGTGCATCAATTCATTTAGAGCCTGTTGCCATTGGTGTGGAATCGTTAGATCCACGATACGTTTTCGTTTTAGATACGGGTTTGAAAATTTTTATATGGAATGGGAAAAAATCGAAAAATACATTAAAATCGAAAGCGAGGTTGATGTCTGAAAAAATTAACAAAAATGAAAGGAAAAATAAAGCTGAGATTTTCACGGAACATATGGGCCAGGAAAGTGAAGATTTTTGGTATTGTTTGGGAGTGCCAAATGGGGAAAAACCAACTGAACCTTTAGAAGCAAGTTTTTTTTATTTATTTTTTTTTGCAAATAACTAAATCTTAATTTTTTAAGGAACACGTTGACTCTGAATTTATCCCAGTTCCACCAAGACTGTATCAAGTACAATTAGGAATGGGTTACTTAGAATTACCTCAAGTTGAAGTACCACATGGAAAATTACAACATACTTTACTGCACAGCAAAAATGTTTATATTTTAGATTGTTATTCTGATGTATTTGTGTGGTAAGTTTTTATATTTTTATTTTTTCTTATACTTATAAAAATTCTTTCCAGGATTGGTAAAAAATCAACCAGATTAGTTAATGCAGCAGCCATTAAATTATCAGAAGAATTATTTAACATGATTACCAGACCAGAATACGCAACAGTGTTAAGAGTAAGAGAAGGAAATGAAACACAAGTGAGTCAAAAAAAATTTCTTTCTCATTAATCTCATTAAAAAAAAATTATTTGTAGATTTTTAAATCGAAATTTACTGGCTGGGATGAAGTAATAGCAGTAGATTTTACACGAACAGCCGAATCAGTACAAAAAACCGGAGCAGATTTAACAAAATGGGCTTCACAACAAGAAACAAAAGCCGATTTAACAGCGTTATTCATGCCAAGACAACCTCCGATGCCCCAAACTGAAGCACAACAATTAATGGAAGATTGGAACGAAGATTTAGAAGCTATGGAAGTGTTCGTTTTGGAAGGAAAGAAATTTGGTCGATTGCCAGAAAAAGAAATTGGCCATTTTTATTCAATGGATTGTTATGTGTTTTTGTGTCGTTATTGGATTCCAGCTGAAGATAACGAAAACGAGGATGACAACGAGCCGCTAGATGAAGATTTTCAATGGGTGGTATATTTTTGGCAAGGAAGGGAAGCTTCGAATATGGGATGGTTAACGTTTACGTTTACTTTGCAAAAAAAATTTAAAGCATTGTTTCAAGATAAATTAGAAGTCGTTAGGACGCATCAACAACAAGAAAATATGAAATTTATGGCACATTTTAAACGAAAATTTATTATTCATCAAGGAAAACGGAAGCAAACGCAACAAGATGCCGTTGAATTTTATCACTTACGATCGAACGGAAGCGCTCTCTACACTAGATTAGTACAAATCAAGCCAGACGCTTCCGCTTTAAATTCGGCGTTTTGTTATATTTTGAGTGTTCCCTTCGAACAAGATGAATCAGGAATTGTTTATGTTTGGATTGGATCCAAAGCCGATCCAGACGAAGCGAGATTAATTCAAGAAATTGCCGATCAAATGTTTAATAATCCATGGGTTAGCTTACAAGTTTTAAACGAAGGAGAAGAACCCGAAAATTTCTTTTGGTTGGGATTAAGTGGAAAGAAACCATACGAAAATAACGCAGATTTTATGGAATACACTAGATTATTTAGATGTTCAAATGAAAAAGGGTATTTCGTTGTATCTGAAAAATGTTCAGATTTTTGTCAAGATGATTTAGCTGATGACGATATTATGATATTGGATAATGGTGAACAAGTCTTCCTTTGGTTAGGTGCTAAATGTAGTGAAGTTGAAATTAAATTAGCTTATAAATCAGCTCAGGTAAATAATTAAATAAACCTAATTAGTTTTCAAAGGGATTATTATTTGTTTTTTTTTTTTTTAGGTTTACATTCAACATATGAGAGTTAAACAACCAAATAAATCAAGGAAATTGTTCTTAACCTTAAAGAACAAAGAGTCTAAAAGATTTACAAAGTGCTTCCATGGATGGGGTGCTCATAAAAAACCTCCAGAATAAAATTTTCAATCTTTATATATTTTGATATATTACTTCATATTATTCATTAATTTGTGATTTTTTTTTGCTTTATCACATTGTATTGTTTTAGTACTTATTGAAATATTTATTAAAATAACTACATAATTAAAAACAATCTTTTATTTTTATAATTAAAATTACATCTCAAGGTGAAGTTTAAATTGACATTTTAAATGTCATTTTGATATTTGAAACTAACCTCAAAATTTTTTTATTAAATCAAATATTTATAAACAATTTATAAAATAATAATGTAGAGTCAATTTAAGTGATGTTTTATTATTTATTGATTTTATTTTAATCTTAAAGCGATAAATATGACATTTAAGTGTTTATAAGAAATTAAGGTTTTACAAGAATCAACAATCATTTATTTACTACTTATGTTTTATTTAACTTTCAGGAACAATAATTTAGATGAACATATTAATCACTTATAATTTAATACCTTTTATGTTACTACTTTGCATTTAATCATCATCATCGTCATCATCAGAAGGTACAAATAGATCATTTTCCTCCAGAAAACTAGCCATATTCTTACTGATAGTGGCTCCGATTAGTAATCCAGGTATAACCGTACAAATCACTCCTAATAATCCAAATTTAGTGATTGGAGGTTCTGGCAATATACCTCCACTTCGTGTGTACGTTTTATGACGAACCGTTTCGAAGTTTTTTAATAAATTCTGACTTAAAATTGGTCGCAATCTTGAAAATAACATTTTTTACTCGTTTTTACGTTTGCTAACACTTTAACAATTTGAGAGTTCCAGTTGTATTAATGCCGAAAATCTATTTTTTAATTTTCCTGGTAATCTCCTGTCACTGTCTAAACTGGTGGGGAATTATTTATTTCTAGAACGAAATAAATCGTGATATTAGTAGATTAATTTTGAGATAAAGATATATTTTTGTGTAAACTCAATAATAAACTAGAATTTTAATTTGTTTAATAAAAAAATTAATTTTTTAAATTGTTTAAAAAATTTTTATTGATATTGGTTCATTTGTACATTAAACCATATTTTTAAACATCAAAGTTAAAACTCAAAAATTGAACTGATTTATTTTAACAAATATTATTTAATGTTGTAATATAATTTATGAATATAAATTAATTAGAAATAGTGGATATTTATTTTATTAGCACATTTGATTTGCCAATAAAGTAGGACATAAAAGATTTTACCTGACAGCTGACAGTTGTCTTGACAGCCGCATAAACAATATCCCGAATCGAATATGAAAGTTTAACTACATTTAAATATGGAAATAGTAAAAACTAGCCTAGATGCCCTATTACGTAAGTTAATCGTACAATTTATTTCCACTCAAAAATATAATATTAATACTTCAAGAACGTGCTACAAACCCGTTAAATCAAAACGTAGATGAAGCCGCAGTAGAGGCTTTTTGCGTTCTAGTAAATAAAGAAAAGGACGGTTACCACATCGGTGTTAAACTTTTAGCGGCTAGATTACACTCAAAAGAAGAACGCGAAGTTTTACAAACGTTAAGCGTTTTAGATACTTGCATGCAAAGATGTGGTAATACATTTCGATCTGAAGTGGGAAAGTTTCGGTTTCTAAATGAAATGATTAAATTGGTCTCGCCGAAATATTTGGGGCTACAAACGCCTATGACTGTAAGACACAAGGTTGTGAGGATGATTTTTTGGTGGACACATGATTATCCGAAAGAAACTAAAATTATGGAAGCTTACGAGATGTTAAGAAAACAAGGTTTGATTAAAGAAGTTACTGTTAGTTTAGGAACCGAGGAACAAGCTAACAATAAACCAAAGAATTCTATTTTTTGTGATGAGGAAAAATCGAAACTGTTACAGAAGTTATTGCAAAGTAAAAATCCTGAGGATTTACAAGCTGCTAATAGATTAATTAAATGCATGGTTAAAGAGGTAAATTTAAGTCATGAAATTGTTTAATATAAGTGTATATAACTTTTTTTTGTGTTCATAGGATGATAAACGAGCGGAATTAAAAAGTAGGAAAATATTAGAGGTTGAGTCTGTTTACAGCAATGTAAGGTTGTTAAAAGAAATGTTGGAGAGTTATAATAAAAATGGTGGTACACCGGATGATTTAGCCTTAATTCGTGAAATACATCAAAATTGTGAACGACTACAACCAAAAATTCATAGTTTGGCTACAGAATGTCAACAAAATGATGATATGATTGGTAAGAAATATAAATTTAATAGTAGTAAAGATTACACATGTGTCTAAAGTGCATATAAATCAAAACATATCTAAATTTGAATTTAATTACAAAAATAATAACATAAAAAACCATACAATAAAATGTTATGGCTGTAAAGTAACTGATTCATTGTAAACAATGATATCATAACCAAGTGTTTAGAAAAAAACTAATTGAATTTAACAATTACATTTTTTGGATAATTATGAAGTAAAATTTTTACAAATAATGTAGATAAGAGCATGTTGTGATTGTTAAAAAATGTTTCAATTCCAGCTGGTGTTTTTTTTTGATTTTGAGTACCTAGACACAAAACATTTTAAATAAAAAAAAATCTAATTTCAAGTAAACTTAAATTTATTTTCTTTGTATTTATTTTAATGCTTCATTAATAATTAAGGTGACCCAGTAGGTAAGTTAAAAATTTTTAAACAAATTTAAATTGTTTTCACCTAAACAATTTAAAAAGTGAACTAAGATTAACTCTAAAAGTAGAACTAGAATTAGAAACTTTCAAGTTATGTGCTCCTTTTGAGAAAGTGTTTGACGTTTCGGATGCCATGTCTGTAAGAGTTTAACAAAAATAAATGACAAATAATTAGGGCGAATCAAACATTAACCAGACTTTTCTTTTTAATGTTCTCTAAGTGAAGTTAGTAACATAACGTCTTGATAAATGTTGAATGGGGATGTAAAATGGAGAAGAGTTAATCGGTTCAGCTCGCCAGAGCAGATTGGCTGTTGGTAGCGTCATGTTTATAGCATCATTATTATTAAGCGTAAAACCTGCCAAAATTTTGCGTCGACTAACTGCATAGTTCGCTATAACAACATTTTCAAGGATCCAAGTCTACAACTGGCAGAAAATTTTTCCAATGGCGAGAGTCAGTGCAAAATGAGTCCCATGCACGCCAACCGCGGAAAAGCACCAGTGAGGCGAATATTCGTGCGATTCGTGAGATGGGAATCATTGCATATAATTTAGATTACGGAAAAGTGTCGGCAAAGTAGGTTCCTCGCCTCTTGACCTCTTGAGGAGGAATGAAGGTGGCAGGAAATAGAGATAGAGCAAGTGAAAGAGTACACGTACCTGGAATATGGTTTCGCGGAAAGTAATAAGGTCGAGGCGCACGTGAGGGCGATAGCAAAAAGAGCGAACAGGGTGATGGGATAGGTTTGGGGATGGGGAGAAAGAACTTTTGGGAGGGTCGTGGGAAAAAGAAAGGTTATGTATGATGGCTTGGTAAGGAGCATGATGATGTACGGCGCAGAAGTATGGGGATGGAGAGAACAAGGTTTGCTGGAGGATATACAAACACGGTATTGGAGATGGGTACTAGGGTTGGCAAGGGAGACTACAGGGTATGTAATGAGGGAGGAGGTTAAGGTGGATGCAGTAAGGGTGGAGGCGGGGAGAAGAACAGTGAAGTATGAGGAAATGATAGAAGCAAGACCGCATTGCAGGATCTTGGGAGAGTGCTGGAGGGAAATTAAGGAGAGGGGGCTGATCTATGGGCAAAGAGACGGGGAAGAATATTATAGAAGAGTGGGATACTCACTAACTGGGATCGAAAACAGAAGAGCGGAAAGAGGTAAAATGTGGAGAGAACTGAGAGATAGGGACATGGATATACAGAGGCAGGAAAGAAGGTCACAGATACGAGAAGGGAGATACAATGAAAGGTATGGGGAGATAGTGACAGAGGAACTGCCAAAGTATTTGTTGATGGCGGGGGATGATGAAGGGAAGAGATTGGTGGCCAGATTCCTCTGTGCCATTGAGGAGAGGGGGAAAATTGTAAATATTAAAAAAACAAAACGCTTATTATTAGAATTTTAGGCCAATATCTATTTTGCCTATTTTTGGGAAAATCTTTGAAATTATCCTAAATAAGCAATTGCTCTCTCATATTGAATCAAACAATATGTTAAATTCGGCGCAGTTTGGCGTTCAAGCACTGTCTCAGATTGCTCAAGATTGTTTTGAAGCCAACAATTATTTACAAGCCGTATTTTACGATCTAACGAAGGCGTTTGACTGCGTGTCTCATCATTTACTTATTAATCCTTTCACTGTACCATGACTATAACATAGTAAAAAACTGTGTCCCTCTCAAAGGACAATAACAGTGAAAGGGTTAACAAACTAAGTTAACTTAACTTATGGAGTTATTTTTGACTGATAGACTTCAATATGTCTCTTATTGTGGGCAAGATTCTGACCGTTTACCAATTATACATGGTGGCCCCCAGGGCTCAGTGCTGGGTCTACTTCTATTTTTAATTTTCGTCAATGACTTGCCCAAAATCATGATACAATAGCCATGGCTTGCGCGATTGATGTCTATACTAGACTCATCATGAACGAAGCCAAAACGCAAACCAAATTTTTCAATCAAATTTTTCCCTTAGCCATCTAGAGACTTGCACGGCGCCTGTTAAATATCTGGGAATCTACCTTGACTAGGGTGTTACATGGGAATCACATGTTTCACATTTAATAAAAAAACTTAATACCGCAATTTTTGCAATTCGCAGACACTGTGACTTGGTCCCTTTCGATGTAGTACTGATGGGCACATATTATGGTTATTTCTTTAGTCATGCCACCTACACCTTATTGGCTTGGGGTCATTCTGCCCATACTGATCGAGTTTTTAGAGTCCAGAGAAGATGCGTCAGAGTGAACGGCAAACTTGAGATTCCAGGATTGTTGTAGAGCTAAATTTATTAAATATTGAATGTTAACAATTCCTTGCCTTTACATCTTCCACTGTCTTCTTTACATTAAAAATAACATCACCCAATATAAAACGGTTAGTTTTGGTCATAATTCTAATACGAGGGCGGGCCCAAAATTACTTAACCTGAATGTTTCTAGTTAGCTCAAAGTGTACTATTAGTTTTAGTGAGAGTGCAAGTGTTAAACGCTCAACTGTTAATTCTAGTTCAATTATCATTTTTTTGTGAATTTGTTTTAGGTGATTTACTCAATGCAAGTGACGAACTCTGTCAAGTATTTGAAGATTACAAACGTGTAATCATCGATGGAAAAACTGAGTTTAAAACGAAAAATTTACTCTTAGAAAATGGACCGTCTTTGTTAGATTTGGGTGTTAATAAAACGGATGCGGAATTACTCTTAGAAACGAAACAAAATTTAACAGAAAAAATTGATTCTAAACCAGGTTATGATGTGTTATGTGATATATTTTCGAATGAAAGTTCTTCAGTGATGTTGGGAGTTGATGCTGATATTTTAAAACCAACATCTCTTGTAGGTCAAGGTAAAGAATTTTTTTTTAAATCGAAATTTGGTTTTGATTTTTATGATTTTTTTATTTTAGTTGGAAATGATTCTCCAAAATTAAATGGAAAATTAAAAGCTTTTGAAGAACTTGACGCTTTAGGTGAGAATTTATTGAAACAAAATTTGCAATTGTCAACAAGACAAGGACATCAATTTCAAAAGTATATAATAATTTGATTAAAAGATTGCAAAAATGACGATTACATTTTTTAGACTTCCAGAAAAAGTTCCAATGAATATGTTAAGTAAACAAAACTCAACAACAAAAATTAACACCGAAAATAACGAGAGAAAATCTTCATCAATCGATCCCTTGGATTTCGATTTAACCTATTTATTAGAAAAACAGTCGTTAAACTCAAATTTAAACCCTAGTAAAAATAACGATCAAAATGGTGATGATTTATTAGTTGATATTACCGAAGAAATTGAAAAGAAAGATGAAAAAGAAAAGAACAAATTGGAAGTATCTCAAAAAAATGACGAACCTAAAGAATCTCTTATTAATAATGAATCTAAAGTTAAAATGGAAGTGAAATTAACCGATATTTTTGTTGCTATTGAAAGTATAAAACCGTCTACTATTCCACCTCTCATAGCTCTTGAAGAAAAAAGTGGAATCTCAGTAACTTTACATTTTGCCAGAGATAAACCCAGAGAAGATGTCTCAGTTATTGTCGTAACTATTATTAGTAAAAATGAACTACCTCTCAAAAACATTTTATTTCGAGCCATTGTACCTAAGGTAATTAAAATAAATTCATTAAGGTTTTACTGTAATTATTATACACAATATATTATCATTTTTATTTTTGTTATTTTAGGTTTGTAAAGTGAAATTGCAACCTCCTTCAGCAACAGATTTACCACCGTTTAATCCATTTTTACCTCCATCTGCGATTACTCAAGTTATGTTAATTGCGAATCCTGAAAATGTGAATGTCTCCTTAAAATTTATCGTAAGTTATAATATCGATGAAGAAACGACGACGGAAATGGGAGAAATTGAAAGTTTACCTAATGTAGAAAAAAACAGTAACAACACACAATAAATGATTATTTTATTTACAGGGTGAATCTGCATAAATAATTTATTTATTTTTTTATAATTTTTAATTTGAATCAAGCAAATGTCTTGTTCAAATTTTAACGAGATTTTAAACAGTTAATTGAAAAAGATTGATAATTAATTAGTTAATTAATTATGATGTTAACAATAGTAATTTTGATTATAATTATTCAGATTCACCTTGTATAATTAATAAGTGATTGATGACAATTTTAGTCATTACATTTTATCTAAGCGAAAATCAGTTAGTTTATCTAGCCTCTACTTTTATCGTATCTTAATAAAACAAGCCCGTTTTTCCGTTTTTGCTTGTCTAATAAACGTTGCCTTGTCGATGGTTACTTAGTACCACAATTATTACTATACTTATAAAATCTAGATTTATGCGGAAATAATCTTATTATTTCTCTTTATTTTACACTTTTATTATTTGAATCTCTTTAACTCCAATTGATTTTACACATTATTATTCACTTAATTATTTTACGCGGTTAATTTTTGTTTTAGGTATCTTGTTGTAATGTTGGATAGTTTTATTTCTTCAAGTTGATTTTTATGCACCTTGTATTATTTTTATGTGATATATTTTCCATTAGTCCATAATGTTTTTAATAGTTAATATATGACTGATTTTGTTTGATTATTTTTTATTATACAAAATACATGATATTGTGTATTAATTAAAAATTGAAGTTTTATTTAAATGATTTGGAAAGTTTATAAGAAAAATATTGGTTTACATAAATTTTGGATTTTCCCATGTTTATTGAATTTCAGATTTCATTACAATTCTTATCTTGCAAGTTACAAAAATATTATAACATGATAACATTTAACTTTAAATATGGATGGAATTTAAATCAACAACAGTCTTCAACAAAAGCACATTAAGAGCATAACATGACAAATCGGGTTTCATTTAAATTTTTAATTTTAATTGTATTTATATGTGGAGCAAAATCTAATTCAGGTAAATTGTTTATTAATTTTATTTAGATTATTTCATTGCTTTTTAATTATTTAGATTATGATTATTATTGGAGAGATTATAATGGGGCAATTCCACCTGATGCAGTATCAGGTGCATATGGAGTCTATATAGGACAAGTATATCGTAATTGTACATTAATTCCTGGCGCTTTGTATTCTGAAAATCAAAATTTTGTGGGAGAATTTTATGGAAAATTTGAAACCAAAACGAATATTAAAGTAAAAAGAACTAAGAAATATAGATTTTCTAGATATAATTGTAATCTTATTTGTAGATATTATGCTCACATGGACTTCTTAAATGGGTTATGGTTAATTTGGATGATGTTCCATTTGAAGATCCAGATTGCAAATTAGTTCGTGGTGGATTCGAAGGCGATACATTTAATTGGTACATCGGTAGATATTTCCATGAAAATATGTGGAAAGTGAGTAAAGTGGGTTACCAACATTTTAAAGCTTTGAGTTTATGGACTAATAGCGGTAGTTATGTACATATTAAAAAATTTGAAGTCTTAAAAGTATGTAGATAATTTATAGCCACTTCAATATAAAAAAGTTATTAAATTTTACTATGATTGTACCATAAAAAAATTGATTTAATTTTGTTTTTATTAAGCTATAATTTATAGAAATTTTATTACTAATAAAACTCGTTCAGCCCAGTTTACATTTATATTTATTATTCTCTGAACAAACCTGATTAGATACCTAACTAAATTCTCAGTTAGTAAATATTAGGTCGCTTATTCTAAAATAGTACATAAACATAAATGGAATAAATTTTAAACAGTTTGTTAGTTCATGATGTTTATTTTTCTACGCTAGTAATCACATCCTGTACACGAATGAACTTAGATTTCTTTATTTCAGTTTCCAATTAGTAACGCTATTTAATCGGAAAATCTTTTACACCTAAATGTAAAGTTGATAACTTTAAAAACAAAATAATATTAACTAAAAAACTCCTTTAACTTATTTCATATAATAATCTCCACATTCTACATCTTGCCTGTAACTGTATTCTTCCACTTCAAAGACTTGATTCACGCAGTCGCGCCAGTTATCGGTTTTTATTTTAAGCTTTTCGTTGCAAAATTTTTTAACATCTGCAAATTTAAATGATTTATTACTTTTTTTATTTATATATTTTGCGTAGATAGTTTCGAACAATTTTTCTACGATGGTTTAAATATATTTTGATTTTTAAAATATAATTATGTATATCTTGGTTGAAGTATAGCATTTTAAATACTTGACTTTGACATTGACTTAACATTATAACAAATATACTCTATTTTTATTTCTTTATACAATCATTATAATTTCTCATATTTTATCTGTAAGATGTCTGCAAGTATACATAAAATGAACTCCAGCATGGCAAACGTAAGAAATCTTTTTAAACGTTCGGTTGAATTTCAAATTATACGCGATAAACGCATAAAGCAAATTAAGAGAATCGCTGGTGCTGAACCAGAAATTGAGGTAAGTTTTAGAATAAAATCGAACTTTTAATGAAATTATCGATTTTCATTGTAATAAAAAAGTTGTGATTATAGGATGAAGATGAATTCGAATTAAGCAATACACAATTTGTAACCGCCTGTCTTATTTACCAAACAAATATCTATCACATATTTAATTTTATCGATATATTAGCAAAAAATCGTGGATGTAAATGGAATATTTAACTTAAAACAAGCTTTAAATTAAAAATTAATATTTATATTTTTTTCAGTTATCGTTTTTGTAGGATTTTTTGTTGTGGAAATGTTTGTTACATTACCACTAATGTCTTTATTTATCTTCATGAGTAGTTACTCAAAAAAAGGTTTCATTACTTTTTGGGATTGCGTCCCAGTGTTTGCAGGTAATTTAAATAATTCATTGTATTTCGATTTTTTTTTGGTTTTAAGGTATTGGTTATAGCTTATTACTTTGCCGAATAACATATGGCATCTTCCAAGTTCAATTTATGACGGCACCTTTAATTTTATTTATTAAATCATTGTTTACTGATGACGTAATTGAAGATGTTTCAAACAATTGTAAACAAGACACTAATGGCGTATGCTACCCAATGCACCCTAAAAATCCGCTCAATGTTTCTTGTCCTACCAATTTTTTGAGTAGAGGTAAAAATGAAACTATTTATATGGCAACACAACATTATTACAGGTATATGTCTGGTTTAATTAACATGATGAAATTAAATGAATTATAAATTTTTAAGGTTTTACATAATGGGTTATGATAGATTTGTAAATACAATTTTAAAAGTAAACAACGAATTTGTTTTCGCTTCGCTATTCATTTGGATTGTTGTATTTGCCATATCTATATTTGGAGTACGACGCATTGCAAAAATTACGTTGAATTTACAAATTTTGTTGAGTTTTTTTGTATGTTCGATTGCCATTTATGGATTAATTTTAACAAATGATCCTATTGTATCGCGACCACCGGAAGGAAGCCTAGCACAAATAGACGTAATTATAATTATAATTATTATTATATTTTTAATTATAAAAAACAAAATTTAATATACATTTTTAGTTTTGGGTTGAAATGTTAATCCATTCAGCCGATATAATCGTTGTGTCGGATTCAATTTACATAGGAACATTAAAACCGAAATCTTTATCACCGATTAAAGCTGGTATTCAAGTAGTTGTTTTTAAATACATTTTTTTTATGGCGATGATGGTTTACACACAAAGATGTAGTCAATTGGTTTTGGGACATTATAAATTTACAGACGCCCGATGTCTTTTAATTTTTGGTCACGACGTTTTATTCGCATTCATACCCGACGTATTGTATAGAGTACGTTTTGGTGTCGGTCTTTCAATATTTTGGTACCTTGTCTTATTTTGGAGTAATTTAAACATGTTGATATTTACAACCATCGGATGCGCCTCTGCATTATTAGAAAAATTTCAAAGGTTACGCAGGTTTAAAATATTGGTGTATTTTGGTTTTTGTGCAATCGAATTTATTGCTAGCATATATTTTTGTACAAATTTAAGTATAAATACTATTTACACGTATAGATTTAATGGAGATATATATTACAGTACAGTTTGTTTTGTTTTTATAAGTTTTGCTTTGATGTTTATTTATTCAACGAAAAGGATTATTGAAGATTATACTTTTACTTATGGAAACCCACCTCCTAAATTTTGGATAGTTAGTTGGCAAACAGCACCTATAGTTGCATTGGTAAAATAATGTTTTTATAGAATTAATGGACGAGTTCAGCACACACTGCAGCCGAACTTGAAACTTGAAACTTGAGAGTATTTTGATATATGTCATGTGTTGAGAACGATAAGCATATACGGTGGCAGTCGGGTTAATTTTGTAGTGTTCGTTAATTACATCGGCTAAGATAGTCGCAGTTCGGTAACGTAAGCAGATTAATCAGGTTCATAACTCTGTTAGTAATCTTAATAACCTTATTGTGCAACTAGAGTTAGGTGTAACTTCTTTATAAATCCTGTTTGTTGTTTGTTATCGTTAACAATTAAATTCAATTTCGGTATTAATTATTGAATATATTATGTTATGCATTATTATTGTATTACGATCTCTATTTTCGATCAATGCTTCGTACTCTACTCCATGATTCTTTTTTAAAACTTAATTTGTAACTGAGCTGTGTGTACTGAATTCGTCCTATATACTCCTTAAAAATGTTTAGAATCGAAATATTTAAGAACCTATTCCCGCACAGCATAAACTAATAGGCATCAGTTCTTTTATTGAAAGATTTGACATTGTATTTTCTGCAAGCACCATAGATCAGGACAAACCTACATTCTTTTTTTTAATTTATACGTATTTTGAGTCTTTTATAACTTGCTGCATGAATTTACATCGTTGTACTGTTGCTATCTGATGTTACTATTAATTAACGACAGATTGTAGTCTATATTGGTTTATGCTGAGTTGAAAACTTAATTTGTATCATCTATCACTTGTGGCAGTCTTATAAAATTTTGAATCATAAATGAATTTTTTTAATTTCAGTTTGCGTTTATTTACATGTTTTACGAAATGGCTCAATCAAAGAAAATATTTTTAATATTTTCAGCTATAATTTGGTCATACATTCATTGCATAATTATGATATCTCCAGTTTTCATGCAATTCCTATCGAAATGTTGCAGACATGTTAAATTACGAGTATACACATTTCTGGTTGCATTTAAATAACGTTGCCAAACTTCAGGATGCGATTTTTTGGGCGATTTCGGAGAAAAAATTATTCGTTTTTCGAAGTATAAAAAGTTTATATTTACAATTCGCTAAATGTTTTTTGGCAATGTTATTCAAATACATCCTATAAAATAATGACGAAATAATAAACAAAATTGAATTTTGTTTTGCAGAGGATGAATACAGTTACAAAACCTTCCGATAGTTGGGGACCTTATGATACTGAACAAAACCGAGCAAGAAAATTTTATTTTCCAGGAAGAGATGCACGGTACCGGACAGAAAGATTAACTTGCCAACATACTTGTATAGCTAATTCAAAAACATATGCAGAAGAAAAACTTAAACATAGAATGAAATGGCATAAATTATTGGGGGACATCCAAAAATCACATGGTCTGCCTAAAGGAAGACTTGTTTTAATAGAAGATCCAAATTAATTATTCATTCTTATTATTGACTTAGTAAAATAAAATACTTTTGTGATGGATGCCTATTCAACCCGATAATTATTATTCCGCGGTTGTAGTTTTATGGTGAAAGCTTATCGGCTTTAATATAGAGAGGATTGTTGCAGCGCTTTTAGAATTGCAAAGTCTCTAAATGGCTTTGTACCTTTAGGGCACGTAGTCTTCGCGGGAATAATTGAATTTTGTTGCCCGGCTTTCGAACCTCAATATGAATAGTCCAAGAATTCGTACAATCGAGACTAAATGTATGCAGATCCGATGCGTTTTTATTGGAACGAGAACCCATTGGTGATCGATGAAAAGATATCATCCATTTTACTATTCTATGGTTTGACGTGGTATTTATATTCCAAGCTATTCAATTGAAAATGCGAGTTAAATGAGAAAAATCAATAGTTTTCAGTTTTCTTATCTTTATGGAAAGACAGAAAGGGTTTTCATGTTATAAACTAATATCAAATAAGAATCTCATGTAAAAATTCATTTAACGTTTTAATGCATACTACTTTATTACAACAAATTGATACAAAATATGACTATTCTATTTTAATAAAAATTATGTAATATAACAAATTCATGATCCGTTTACGTTTTCACAATATTTAAAGCTTATTTCCCAACACTAGCTGCGAAAACAGAGGCACCACGAAAACCTAATCTTCTGGCTTCACGTTTTTCCCTGATATGTAGATTGGGATCCGTATCTGTATTGGATAGCAGCGCACTGATTGATTGTTCTTCAATAGCAGAAGCAATTGGAGAAGCTGACACCAATTGATAGATGAAAAGGAATGTTACAAAAAAGATCTGCAATAAAAATTAAACCAATTTTTTTCTTTTATTAATAATATTATCCATTTTGATTAATACTTACGGCGAAAAGCTTCATTTTTGTACTTGTACGGGATTATTTAAAAACTCAAAAGTTAAATCACAACTTAAAGACGGTTTGAACTAATTTGAATTAAGAGTGAAAAGATGTTCCTTATATACCTACGTTTGTTATGGTTCTGCGTCATTTTCTGATGTTAATTAAATTAAGAAGTCACCTGAAAACGCACGTTTACGCGAATCGTTTATTTTTTTCAAGCCGCTATTTCCGTTGGTAAAAATTGTTTTCCATTGTAAAATATTGTATAAAACCGGGGTGACGCTCATCGTTTGTTTATCTTGTTTATTAGTGTTTAGTAATAATGTTGTGATTAAGTTTTAACCTTTATTTATGTAAACTTTCACGAGTTTTTACCTTTAAATAATTGTTCTTTTTTACGTCAATGTGGGTTGTAAAAATAAAGTTGCTTAATATGGTAAAAAAAAAATTTTTTTGTCTCTTTAAAGTAAAATTCCATAAGAAATTTGTTAATATCTATTAATAATTAGTTGTTAATTTTTATATTTATGTTTTTTTATGTTTTTGTAATAAATTTAATGAATAGCAGCTCCGTAAGCTAGCGATTTCAAAAATAATGTTCTTTTCCTAGAATTTCTTTTCGATTCATATAAATCTTTTGCTTTATTCCACCAAGTTTCTGAATCTAAATGACAATTTAATGAGGGCCTTCCCGTTGTTAAACTAAAATTTATAACCAAAATAACCCCAATCTATAATTTTTAATAAAAAAATTACCCTAATTAGTTTTTCGATTCTTTAAAAACTAAACACTTACCACAATACCAATTAATTTCATCTTAAGTTGTGTAACATAAACAATATTGTATCTTTATCAAAGAAAACATCTATATATACAACTCAAGAGTGGTTTGAACCTTTGATGGGTCCAATTAGCGGTTTCATTAATGTAAATGAAGGATAAAAGGAGATGTTAAAAAAAACAATCCGAGGTTAAATTGGAGGAAAAATATTCCTTTATTAGAAAATAATAAATTAATTTCCTAGTTAATAATAAGTATCAGAAAATTTGATGAAAGCAAAAATTAAAATGGTTGAGGTGAAATGGAATAATAAAAGTTATTTTAAAATTCGTTTCGATTCTACGCTCGCCAATTCAATTTTCGATGAGAAATGAAAGTAAAAAAACTTGAATGGAAACTAATTTTTGAATTGAATTATTTTTTGTAGAAAATTTTGATAGAAAATTAATGAAATACACTTTATCAAGCTTTTTACAAGCTGTATCTACACATCTTTATTTAAATACCTTTCTCCTCTCTATTTATTTCAAGATTAATATAGATAACTTGAAAAACACCACGTTTTATTTTCCAAATTTCATTCAAACCCCTTTATGGGCAGCATGCTACGTCTAACGTAGTTAGTAATGGAACAAAAGATCTACTAGACCTTCCACAAATTAAATTAAAAACGCGTCAAAAGGGATTCAATCTACGTACTGCAAAGGGGTCTTTATCCTTTATATTTCACAGTCCTTTTGATCCTTTCTGTTACAACCTACTGATGTCCACCCTATCTTTTATACGAATACATAGTTCTTTTTTATAAATTACCATGTTTCATAATACAGTGAACTTGTTTAATTCAAACTTCCAAAGAAAAAAGAAACAAAGTTAGAAGAATTTCAAATAATATTAACTGGAGTCCACTGATTATTGATTTTTATTACAGAACCTACAAAATTGCTATCTCAAGAACGAATTAAGATATAATAACGAAACAAAGAGTCTTTGAAAGTAAAGTTAATGAAGATTTAATGAGTTATAAACAACTTCTTATTTTCTATTAACTTCGTTGTTATGATTTTTTTAACTCAGTTATCACATTTGGTTATTATCGATTTTAATAACAATTATATCTTAAGAACAAATTAAAATATAATAATGAAACAAAACCATTTTAAAGCAAATTTAATTAATATTTAGTATTTCATAAATAATTTCATATTTTTCATAAACCTCGTTGTTATGACTTTCTAAACTTAACTCGCCGCATTTATTTGTTATCGGTATTAATCATAACATTAAAAAATCGTATCTCAAGAACAAATTGAGATATAATCATGAAATAATGAACATTTTAACGTAAATTTAATGAAGAATTAGTATGTCATAAATAATTTCCTATTTTTCATAAACTTCGTTGTTATGATTTTTTAAACTCAACTCATCGTGTTTGATTTTTATCGGTTTTAATCATAACATTAAATAATCCTATCTCAAGAACGAATTGAGATATGATGATGAAACAGAGACCATTTTAAAGCCAATTTAATGAAGATTTAGTGTGTCATGAAAGATTTCTTAGTTTCCATAAACTTCGTAGTTATGATTTTTTAAACTCAACTCGCCGCATTTATTTGTTATCGGTTTTAATCATAACATTAAATAATCCTATCTCAAGAACGAATTGAGATATGACGATGAAACAAAGACCATTTTAAAGTCAATTTAATGAAGATTTAGCGTGCCATAAAAAATTTCTTAGTTTTCATAAACTTCGTAGTTATAATTTTTTAAACTCAACTCGCTACATTTATTTATCGGTTTTAATCATAATATTAAATAATCGTATCTCAAGAACGAATTGAGATATAACGATGAAATAATGAACATTTTAAAGAATTTAATGCAGATTTAATGCGTCGTAAATGATTTCTTGGATTCGATAAACTTCGCTGTTATGATTTTTATATCAAGTTCAACATGTAGTATCTAAATGTATGAAAACTTCAGTTGAAACGTATTATATTTTAAGAAAATTCGTTGATCCAGATTTTGGCAATCATTTCTAACATTCTTTTCCAGGTGTTCATGTCCCTTCCATAAAAATGTCAAGTAACGGTAAATCTGGAATTATGATCATCCATTCGACTTATGGGTTAACTCAATTTGCTACTAGAGTTTTCACCACGTGACTTTTTTACGGGGGATATGAAAATACAAAGTTATGTTTGGAAAATAACAAGGTTCATAATGAATATTTGAATGAATATACAGTTTTCTAATTCTATTTTTGCATAGTTATTGTATTATTATTATGAAATTATTCAATTTCCATTCCATAGTTAGTACATAAATAACATTTGAGCTTTTAAACTTGTTAACATCATCACACAACAATCTCAACAGTGGCGTCTTTACATAAAGGGAATATATCTCCTCAGATGTACGAATAAGTCAAAAACGTCAATCGACTCTTGACTTTTTAGAAAGAAATAGAAAAACCACAATCAAGAGATCCTATGGATATTAAGCTGTTAGCCAAGATACATAAGAGAAATCATTTTTTATTGAAATGTCGACGACATGAATTAATACAAATCAATTCATATTCAATGAATCATAATTTTTTGTATTGGCCGATTGTCGAGGTATTGATCCGATACTACTAGTTTGCATTTTGAAACAGGTAAATCTGCTTCGAAAAGCTTTATGTAAAGTGTTTTACTTTGAGGATCGATATCCCATCAACTGTGGCGTTGGAGAATGACTGATTTTATGAAGCTTTGTATGATAATGTATTGCAGACTCCATAAAATTGTATTTTCCAACTTTCTCTAGAACATTACTCAAAAGGTGTAAAATCTAAACATTTAAGTTATTATAAATTAACTAACTTTAATGAATCCGTCATCCAACCCTAATAATTCATACTTAACACATTAATCAATCCTAAATAGGGTAATTAAGCCAATTTTAGAAGTTCAACTAGAAATTCAATAAGGTATGTTTTAAAACGAAAAATTAAGATCAAAGTTTATTCCAAACAAATTTGATAATCAAAACAAGTAAATATACATAATCACAATTAAAATTAAAAAAAAATAAAACATAATTAATTTTTTAACCTAAAGCTCCAAAAGAGCACGCTTTCCTAAATTTATCCCTCAAATCCCTTTGATTCCTCGTTCTTCCATTATGCTTTCCAAAGAATTCTTCCATCGCTTTACATTCTGCATCATTTAAACTAATGGTACGTTCCGTTGATCCAAGAACTAAATGCACGGTTCTCGTTGTCGTTTCGGTCGGTTTTGCGGTGGTTGTCGTAGTCGTAGTTGATGTAGTTCTAGCTGCAGAGTTGAGATTCACAAAAACAAGCAGCGTGAATAAATATAACTAAAACAGAATGAAAGTGAGTAAACTCAAATTGCACATCGAACCGATTCCCGTTTCGTACGTAAAGTAATTTCTCCATCTTGCGGTTTCTGTTATGTCTTTACTCTGAAGAGGTTCGAAGAGAACTGACACTTTCTATCGGTGGATTTCTGGATATAAATGTTGTAGTACTTTGTTGGTGAAATCTTACCAAACCGGTTGTAAAAGAAAACGAAAAATTTTATTCTACATTATGATAAGAGAATTTAATTGTTTATTTAGAAACGATTTTAATGGCTTTTTAATTCAATTTGTTTAAAGTATTGAGGCCTTATGTTAATTCAGGATTCTAGAAGTATTTGTAGTTTTTTTTAGAAGGACAACTTGCGTCATTGTTGGAACATTATTATGGAATTTATTTTATGGCTAAATAAGACGTGATGGTAATCAAAATGAAATAGAAGATGTTTGCTTGTTTTTAATTTCAAAATCATTACTTACAAGTATTGTTTATCTTATTTATTAAATAATAGGCATTGGATTTCATTGGAATATGTGACTTAACACTTCATAATTACCATCGACTTTCTAAAATTCCAACCTCTGCTCTCTGTTTCATTACGTATTCACCAATTTTTATCACTAAATACGGCAAATTATCCAATTAACAAAATTATCACTTATTTTTCCGTATAAATACTATAAGAAAACCTTACGATCTAACCATTAGAAATAATTTTATTTCTCAAAAATGATGAATGTAATCTTGGTAAGATCAACTAATTATTTTTGACGTTATATAACAAAAATGAATTAATTACAGTTCACTTTGTGTATTTGTCTGTACACAAATGGTTACCCAACGGACAAAGAAAAATCAGAAGAAATCCAAACAACCGAAGAACAATTAAAAGTAACTGAAACCAGTTTGAATAAAGAATCTACAGTTATTAACCCGACTGAAACAATAACTTCTAAAAAAGATGAAATAATTTTTGTTACAAATCCAACCCCTACATTAGGAACAACCACGGTGTATCTTAATTCAACTAAATCACCTGTACTCGATGGCGAAGGTGATAAAAAAATCGAAAACAATTCAGATAACAAAACAAATCAAGAAAAAATTGTAAGTTCTCCTCTGCCTACGATTACCACCGTGAAAACAGAGGATTCTTCATTACCGGATAAAAATAAGGACGAAGAAAAAGTTATTGCTGAAGACAGTACATCTAAAAATGAGACTCAATCTACTTTACCCGATGAATGTAAAGAAGAGAAGGAAAAAATTAAAAGGCATGCTGATCCCGAACCGGGACGTAATAAATTTCGAGAAGCGTGTGCTTTTGCTGTTGTGGGGTAGATAAATTTAAGTTAAATTCTAAAGTTTATGGTATAAAAAATATTATAACATAAATTTGTATACTTGAAATATATTAAATAAATTTCATTAATAATTTCATGAATAATTGTGATACATTAAAAAGACTTCCACAATTGTCATTTGATATCTTCTGATATGTCCACAGACTTCATACATTCTAAGCAAGGAGTAAGTAAGTTTTGAGTCAATAATTAAACGAACTTACTTTTTGATGCAGGTGGTGCATCAACCGACAAGTCATGTTTAGAGTCTCAATTTGATACAAACTAATCCATGTAGTGACATAAGTAGAACATTAATGTAAACCAAAAAAAAAAACAGGAGAAGTCCAGTATACAAACTGATTCCTGGCTATAAGATTTAAAGCTGTAGGAGAAACCTAAAACTTAACGTTGCAACATCTTTCCGTTGAGTTACGAATCAATATTGTATGGTGTTCGATTTTTACATTCAAGATCAAATTTTATTATCGGTTATATTTCATTATTTCTTTAAGTTAGGTTGAGGGATAGATTTAACATTTCTTGTTAGTATTCTATACAATTGTCAAAGTTAATAACATGTGTGTTAATGCATCTAGAAGTGAGAATAAAAGAAAGCGTTATTTAAATTTTCGTCCAAGGTTTGAATAAAATCTGATAACTGTTAATAATTGTATTTCAGTTCAATATTTGCTTTTTGGTTAAGGAAACTTATGTTTATATCGCGTTCCAGGTAGGACAATTCAATCTACCTTTTTTTTTTAATTTAAGACCAGATAATGGAGGTGATAAAACACCGTATAATTTTTATTTCGCCCTCCGCAGGCATCACAAAAAGTGTCAAGTTCTGGAATTGTATCCGAAAGGTAATGATTGATCGAATGATTTAGCATTGAACATACTTCATCATTTTCCTTCTTTCATCGTATGTATAAAATATCGATTCACTGGTTAAGAGCACGTGAATATTAAAGGAGTGAAGTTTGGTCAGATTTTTACTACACTGTTTACTCTTCCTCAAAAAGAAGATTTTTGATCCTTGAAAACCATCCCAGGTAAGGGTAGCCAATGAAATACTTAAGTTAATATTAAATTCAGTTTTGAACATGTCATAAGATATGTGATTTACTATATTTAACTTTTCAGATAAATAAATCTTATTGGCATCTTTCAGTATCTTCGTGCGTTGACGTCTTAAAGACTTGATCAAATCATTAACAAGAGTGATAGTAACAAGACGTCTTCGTAAACGATCTCTTTTTTCAGCATTAACTTGTACGCCTGAAATGTCATGTAGGTATGTCTTTATCTATACGAGAATGGTACCATTATTGAGACCATTTTCTGGAAATCCGACACTCAAACACTGAAACAGCTACGGTTTAGAACACCCCAATGCGTATACTAACGCATTGAACTTTGCTCTACGGACATTCATCGTTGATCCCCCCCCAATTTACTTGATCAATCGATTGCATTACGAAAATAATACGGAGAATGTGAGCCGATGCGAAAATTGTTTTTTTTTTCTACTGAATTTGTAGAGGATTTCAATAAAACTATTTACTAGAAGTTTTTTTCTGCATAGACTTGTGAGTAAATTATGCCTCAAAGGGAAAATTCATTTAGTATTTAAGAAAAAACTATTTTTTTCTTGCGTCGAGGTTATTTCTCACTTAGAATGTGTTAAAAACACAATTTACATATTATGTCAATTCTGGTTTAACTTATCAACACTTTCTTTTGTATTTACAAAAATTTATTGTTTCTGTGTTAGTATTAAAATGTTTGGTGATCTTGAAGAAAATTGCTTTTTATTGATTAACAGATTCGTTCTTGTGTCGTATTTGGAATATCTTGGGATTCGAATTAAGCGCAGAGATATTTTTTTGTTATTCCTAATTTCTTTTTCATGTCTCGTTCTCTTGGGAAAGCCTCTTTTTAATAAAAAAAATAAACTTTATTTTCCACAAAGCAGTCGGATTACAGCGATGGACATACATACATGTAAATTAAAATTTTAATTACAAACCGGACGCTTTCTGTTCGGTTCAAAATGAAAGTTGGGTATTGGTTTCTAGTTTTATTCTCAAATTAAATATAACTTTAAATTCCTACCGAAAAATTGCACCATCACTTTTATAATAATAATATCGTTTATATGGATATATTCGTGAATTTATTTCAGGAAGGATTAAGTATACCATATTCCAAATTTAAATTTATTGTGTTAGTTTTTCAATGATTTGGTTCTTAACACTAAAAACACTCTAGCGTAATTTCGCTTCTCGATAATTTCACCGTGACCAATAAAGCTTTCGCTCTGTTGACATTTGTTTGCTAAAACAGTAAATTATGCAAAACAGTCGTTGCATTTAACGTATTTCTCTATTCCGCAAATGTAATTCCATTTAAAATCATTTGGTGCTATACAATATTTATTCTTGTAAATATTTAAACAGAAATAGAAATCAATGTCATTTACAACATATCTCACATGAAAAATGTATCTCATTAATTCAGCCTTAGAAATCTTTTTTGATGTTGATCGGGTGCAAACAGGTTTAATATTCCCTTTTTCTTGGTGCTATCCCTTTGGGATATTGGGTATTTTCTGACTTTCATCGCTCTCGGTAGCACTATTTACAAAACGTCATGGTCCTTCGTGAATGTTTACCCCATTTTCGTTCGCATTTGTACGTGACACAAGTAAAACTTTCGGTAAACACCGTTAGTACGTTAGGATGGACCAGCATTTATCTTTAAAAATATTTCTTTTAAAGATGTAATTTAATTGCCTTTAAAGAATTTAATTTATGTAATTCCAATTATTATTCATGGCATGGTTAGCGTGGTTGCGGTTTTGCAGTAATAAATCTTCAGTTATCAGTGTTTCTCTTTACATAAATGAGCTGGTTCTCAGTAATAGAGTTGTGGGGTTAACCTTCTTACTTAATTCAGATGAGATTAATATTCATTCAAACTAACGTAGCATTTGGTTAGTTTAGTTGATTTAATGGAAAATTGATCGCTATTTACTTGTGTGAGACAAGGATTGTTTTTGTAAATTAACAACCAATCATTTGAAATTTATACAAAGTTATCAAAATCATGGTTTAAATGCAATTCTGAATTAATTTATGTTTCATGTCACGCGTGACTAAGTGGTAAAGTTTAATGTATTATAGACCACAACCTCACAACAACTATGTTAGGAAAGCATAACTATAAATTAATAAAGCAATTTGAAACTGTATTACTAGTTAAAAGATGGTTATGTCCGGCTTCTGAAATAGATGATATCTCTATTATTTAGCACTAAGTGCTGTATAGTTGCAGTATAAGTCCGGTTTAAGAGATCTTAATAGGAGAGCTATGAATGTAATAACAACTCCATTTAACATGAATTTCCTTTATAATCTTTAGAATTTCATAATTTATTTCATATACATATACATACATATACATTTAAAAGCTATCTGGAATTCTTAACACCTTTGAGGTTCTCTATTAGCAGAATCTCCATATCTGTAATCCTATACGGCACTCTAACTAATCACATGATGATGTTCATAATGAAATAAAAAATTGATACAAAAATACATAAAAGGAATATAAATATGTAATTAACCAAGAAAATATAGGAACTAATTGAACTACTATTCTATTAACATTCTAAATTGAATGTTAATAAAACAAATATTGACAAAAATCTGAATTTAATAGACTCTATAAATTAAGTCTGATTAGATTCAATGAATTGAATGAACTTTCAAATATAAACCTATAATCTGGATTTCTGACCTTTGGATGGGTTAAATCGATGATGAAAACGATTCTCTTCTTATTGGCAGCTTTCTCTTGGACGAGTACGGCAAGTAAAAGGCGTTTAATTTCGATGAAAATGCCAGAGAAGAAATCAGAAATTGAAATAACGAAAGGATAAGGCTTTGAAAAATGTGTGATCCTAGAAAATGGATTGGACCATTGTGGTCTTAAAGAGAAAATAAAAGTTCTTGTCTCATAATGGAGAGATGTCTGGTTAAACTATAACTCTCCCGATATAATCCATCCCTAAATCTCTAATGTTAGAACGAAAAAGTTTGCTAAGCCACGTTTTACGTGGTGTTATATATAAAAAAGTAAATGTATATATAAAAGAGTAATTCCAAGTATTCCGATTATGTAATATATTTATTATACTATATATATATATATATATATATTATATTTATTTGTTGTTATCTGACTATTTACCTAAATAAATTATAAAGCTATGGACTACAAGTTAAATGATTCTCCTACAATATGGCAAATAATGGCTACCATGGGAGTCGTATATATTATATTTTTACATTTATATGTTTCTATGTATTATTTATTTTTTAACCCCTATAATATCCTTCGCTTGTAGCGCACTAATTTGACTTGGCAGAAGCACTTTGCCAGTAATTACAAGTCTCCTAACCAGACATTGTAAGACATATAACATGTGGCTTATTTATAGCCCTCTCTATTGTTCTTGTGAACAAAACGATAACGTAAAAGTAAAAAATACCTTATTGATTTTCCTATTCAGAAGTTCCTACAATCACGGTCATTTACCTTACGATTGAGTAACCGAACACAGCCGGTCGATATAACCATAATGTGTGTTATTAAGGAAGCATTGTGTTAACCGACTCTCTCCCACAATTTATGTCGTTTAGACTTGTTAAAGTTCACAGGGTTGATCCCGCATACTCGTAAGTGTTACCACGAAACCACACAAAAGCGACAAGTTTCCTGTGATGTTCCGTTGCTCGATTTTCTTTGATATTGGATTTCCAAATCCTTACTTATCTTAAGGCTGGAGCAATCTTACAAACTGATTAAAAATTTCACTTAAATAGATAAACAATTACTTTAATACAATGAAATTAGTCTAAGTTACATAATTGATAGCTTCTTCACGTATAATTACCGTACCAACTTAATTAATGGTTCGTAACAAGTTCA